TGTCCTTTACACTAGTGTTCATTAACCGAAGCAAAATTGCCATTTGTCCCATTATAAGCTACTCTCTTGCAAGCATCATTATCGAAAAGATGACTCATGGCTGATCCTGCTCCCGATCTTTTATTCTGTTGGTGCATTTTGTCGTCACAGTATGACCCAACTTTGATTCCGTAGTACATAAGGTGATCATCAATTGATAGAGATAGTCCCAGACCATCACTACACTTCTGATCCTCATACTTAAGACATTCAATGTTATCACTATCGATTGTCGTGTTTTTTTCCGTAGAAGATTTCACGGTTGTGATGAAATGGGCTGCTGTGAAACAGGATCATTGAAATGAACAATCGCCAACTTTTTCTTAAAAGTTTATCGTGGTCACAATCACCAGTTCTCGGCATATCAAATGTGTATAGCGTAATCTTATCTTTATAACTGACATTGTCAAAAACCAGCTGAGCCGAGGCAATAGATACTATGACTTCGACAATTCCAATTTGTCCATCTTTTAGGATTTTGTTCGCATATTTGACAGGTTCATCCGAGTAGGCCAAGGCAGAATGAAAGGTAGCATAAAAGGCTTCATTTGTATTAAACTCTCACATCTTCGAAGCAAGTTGTCGTTTTGTTATGCATTCCGATGGTACTTTTGCGCTGCAATTAAATGATACTGAACTGTCACTACACATTTTACTATTATTTAAGTTCACACACAAACGACAATCTTTGTTACATTTACAAAGAGCTGCTGACACCATTGATAAGATTTAAAATATTTTAATTCCCATGTTTCTGCTAATTTTTGTTAATGCTTAATATCAACTAAATCTCGAATCGTTATCCGTAACTTATAGTCAATAATACTGTTTATATTTATACTTCCACGACACCAGGCATATCTGATTGGTCATTATTAATAAGTATGTTTAACAGTATATAGAGAGAATAGAAATATCTTATTGATTGATTCTCTTGATCTTCTTTCATAACACATACTCTTGAGGAGGCAGGCGATATATTCAAACTATGAGCCGAATAATTTATTCATAATACAGATATCATGGTGTTTGAAGGTCTGAAAACTATTCGTATTTATCTGTCATTGTAATTCGTTCATGTTTTTGTGTAGGAAATAAATTTCAGTATTTTCTGGAGCAAAGTATTTATCCGAGACTAAAGATTTTGGTATCTTTGTCTGTATTTGTGGCATTCAAAATGGATAATAGAAAGTTAATATCAAGCATTGTCTATTGTTGCGAAACCAGTCAAAAACTTTGAATTAATTTAAATTTTATGCCCCCCCCCCAAAAAAAAAAAAACAAAAAAAAAAAACAACAACAACAACAAAAAAACACACACACGAAAACAATTAAATGTAAAAAAGACAGCTAATTGGACATTCTTGAAATTGGCATGAATTCTTGAATTGGCATGTCGGTTATTGAATCGTGAAGTTCTGGTGTATCCTGTACTCTCATGAAGATGAACCATATCGGTATATTTCAGATGTGATTTTGTTTTGGTTTGGGTTGATATTCTCTATGGTAGAAGCAATGCATGCAATTAGTTATTTTTTCGAGGAATGCCATATACCTTTGAATAATGCTTTTGCAACTGGTTATCTGCTTGTGTTACATGCTTTTGAAAATTTGAATTATTTTATTTTAACCCTTTTGTTAGATCCCCCATGCCCTTGCTCAAATATTTCTGTAAATATGTGCCTGCCTTGACAACATATCGGAAACAACAACAAAACAACTCCGACAAAAACATCAGTCCCACGCACGTACGAACTCATGTAACATTTATATTCAAGAATTTAAATGAATTCATCCAGAGGTTAATATGTGTAACTTATTTTGGTCAAATTCTATTTTTCTATTGGTTGACTTGATTGAAATTATTCGATTAGTTAAGAACCTGTTATCAGTTATTTTGACCAATCAATCTTATAGTTATCATTTCTATGACGACCAAAATGTGTATAAATTTCAGTTGATTTTTCAAATTTCTTGTCTTGGGGACTTGTCGCAAATAGCGAAAGCATTTTTTTCTTTTCATAAAAAGTTGTGCTCCGTTGATTTTTATATGTTACTAGTATATGTTTATTTTGTTTAACACATCGCAGATAACGACACGCCTGATTTATTCTAGTTTATGGTCTATTTCACATAATTATGTACTAAGTCAAATTGCTCCGTCATTTGTATAGTTTTATTTATCATGATTTTAATAAGTTTTACATGGTTCAAGGACTTCATACTTTTCAGTGCTTATGGTGGATTTTTATGATGTAAATCGCGGCACGGGCAGCCTACAATTACAAAGATTAAAATGATTGATTATTATAAATTGTATTTGGATTATCGTGAGTAAATTTAAATTTGTAGTGAATGTTTCTTAAGTAAAATAAAGTGATTATTTGAAAGTGTGTTTTAGTAAGAAAAAGAAAATTAAAAAATATTACTTAAATGTTTGTTGGGAAAAAAAAAACAAGAATCTTCACGACAGAACTGGCCGACAGGTCAGTTCACTTCAAAACAATTTAGAGTTTTGACCTTTTTCAGAACATAGATAGGTTTGACACTACTTCGATCTTTTTGATTTTTAAACTTAGAATTTTGATACTTGTTAATCAACTAATTAATCTAAAAATAGAATTCTGCAAAAAACTTTGCAATTTATACATGTAAAATAAATCTCTGTTATTAATCTGTGTTGAATTCATAAGGGTTATGGTTTACTTAGAGTTAACAGAAGGGAAGGTAGCATCTCACCCACCCTAGAGAATGAAAGCAATCTATTTGTCCAAATATTCACAATGAGCAATAGACATTATAGAAAATATTTATAACACAGTAACTGCCATCGTTCTTAAATGTTTTGTAAGTGTTTGGTACAACTGTATTATATATTCTCTCAATGTAAAACTTACAGCCATAGTGCTGATATGAAAATCTATCTTTTACAGAAATCAGACATAAGATCATATGAAGTATCAAAAATATTTTTGTCATATTTTTTCCTATGTTCAATGACAAATTTTTTATACAATAGTCATAAAAAAAGATGCGACTCCAAAATGTGCCTAAACATTATAAATTACATTGTAACAGACGATGTGCGGCAAAAGCCTTATAAAAGGTAATCTCTGCATTGATCAGTGATATTTCCCACCTGGTTGCACATTTAGTTTAGATATGACATAGGATATCCAGTCCTGGGCCCAATACGGTACTCGTAACATTTCTTTTGCAAATACAAGTAGTCATCTTAGAAAGCGCCTTTCAATTTGTTACATACTTCTTACAGACTTCTTACAAATTTATTTTTAATTAAAGTTGGTCACCCGAAGGGAATACTTGATTAAAATAGATTCATATATATTTGGTTTTGATGTACAGCATATATTTGTCGCTCCTTTTAAAATCTATTTCAGTTGTTATCTTGGGATCAAATTTGATTAACCTCTACTCAGTGGCAAATAGTAAGAAATGATGGAGTTGAGGAATATGACAAGCAACATAACATTGTGAACTTATACTTCATGTATTAGATCGTGTCCTTGTGATTTAGTTCAAACCGACATGTGGATCATTTGGAATTACAAAGCACAGCAGAATTGCAAAAGAAAATACGTGCCTCTGACAATTCATTACATTGAAACCTAAGTTATCCAGTTAAACCTGCAAAGAGGATCATTTGAAATTACATTTCACACAATGAAAACTACGAAATTCGTCAGATTAGAAACCCTAAAACTTGACCAGAGCATAACCGTTTAAATGGTGGCATCATAAAGATTATTTCATTAATAATCTATGCATTGTTTTTTTTTTTGACAAATTCATTTGTTATTTGGGAAAAACAATCATCTTATAACAATAAACATAAACTGTTCAATTATGTCAAGGTCACGTTTTCTTTTTTAGTGACTCTGTCTTTTTCCGATATAAATCATATATTTGCATGTAAAAGTGTCTAGTGGGCTGATATGTATGCATTTGGTAACAAAGAGCCTTTTACATTAAAATGATTGCAATTGTTTGTTCAGATTGAGAATTATACATATTTATTTTAGATTTGAAAATGTCTTTGTTTCAGAAAAAGAAGAAACAGAAGTAAACATGAAGTTTCAAATCTCCTTAATCTTCTCTTATTAATGATTACAACTAATCAAAAGCATGCCCATTGATCATGTGCACAATATATATCTTTCTGAGTAGACCATATTTTGTAAGTCATATCTATATATTAATCTGTTCAAACAATTTATTTTCTTAGAGCATTTCCTGCTTTTGCTTCATTTATTCTTTATCAAGATGCTTATAAATCTAAATCATCTTGTAATCAAATCAGGCAGATGATATTTCAAACAGTAACTTACAAATGTCGCAGTTATATGTCAATGTGTCGACGTACATATTATTTCAATAAAAATTCAATGAACAGTAGAATGGAAACACGATTCACCGTCTTTGCTTTAGGCAGACATAATCTTAATTGTGTCAATTGTTGGTCTGAGCCTTTGTATTTAACGCATTAAATAACATAGGACCTTCTTCTCTGCGTTATGATTGTCGCGTAGGAATTATATTTACTCTAGTAGTCTATTACTGTAATAGACTAATGAACAAATGTCGCTTAAAAAGCGTAAATAACAACGAAAAGATAATATAAATTTGAATACACCTATTGTTTTTTGTTTTGACTGAGTTAGCTGAAAATTTGTGAAGTGGCAAACTTAGGCCAAACAATACATTTTACTAGGAAATTTAATTGTTCATTTCTCAATATGTTGATACATTAAAACAACAATCGATAAACAATGTTCAATTTATTTTAATCACTGTAATCAAGACAATGACAATATTTTGTCAATCTTGTCATGTTACTTAAAAGCTAAAACATTTATGTCTTATACCACGGATTTATATTACAATATAAATCCGTGCTTATACAAACGGAATGATAAGAATAGAGAAAATCATCTTTCTGTTGCAAATAACGATCTAAAAAATGATTAATTGATATACATATTTAATATATTTTAATCAATATGATTGTAAAAAAAATAAAAAAAATAAACTTTTAATTTGCTTACTTAAAGTAAAATTCTTAGAAATACACTGGGATTGTGACAATTGTTTTCAAACTGAAAAGGAATAAATAAGTTGAATTGACACATTCTAAACACAAATGCAAATTAATGCTTATTATTGACTTCAATCAAACCATATGTACATATATACTGATTTTATGTGTTCATATAATTTGGATGATTTTGAAAACAACAAAATGATGTCTTTATTAAAACATATTTTTTCTGGACATAACTGTTTTGATTGAATGTTTACTGATAATTTTTATATTCAAATAAATAGTTTTCAGTTTGACCCATTAAGAGAAAATTATATAGTAAATCACCGCTATTTCTTAACAATATACGTTTTTAAATGATAGAATTATTCAATCTCATATTAAAACAAAGACGATCGTATAAAATTCAATAACTTTGATTTGACAAAATTAAGGTTAGTATCATAATTATCATTTCTGGAACTCCATATCTTTGTGTCTATTATATATAATTGTCAATCAGTTTCAACATCATAATGAAAGCTTCTAATGAAACATATAAACAAGTCCAATTAATAGCCTTGAATGAGTACAAAATTGCTACAAGAGAAAAAAAGCTATTCAAAAATGGCTACAAGAGAAAAGACTATTTTGTAATGCAACATATGATTAAAAGTATTGTTTGAGATAATTTACTGATCGTATTTATTAATTCTTCTCGTCTCTACAAATATATATTAAGCTGTCATTCCAGTCAATTATCATTACTTTATCGGCAATACTAGTAAACTAAACAAGTATCAAATATAAACATAACGTTAAATATTTTTCTACGAAATAGCAAAAGCATGAAAATGTATATGATATATACAGATGAAAAGGAAAGAACGTTTAACAAAGAATATGGGAATATTAATGTTTTTGTCAGCAATGTGAAAAATACACAACATACATGTTTTAGTTTGTTCATACAGCTAAATAAATATAAGATATAACTAGATATTAAATTCAATCAAATAAAACACATAAATAGCCTACATACAGTGTTTGTTCTAAGAAATATACTTCTCTTGTTTTCTCATTGAGTATTGTACTTGTATATTTGTAACATAAGCTTATTGCAGTGTCTCGAATTCAACATGTTTCTTAAATATTTTCAAAATGTTTTCAGTGATTATGAAAAAGTACATTTTGTTACTTGTCAAAATTAGTCTAAGTCAAACCGAATCCGTGAATTCAAAGGTTAGTTTCCTTTTTAGTCTTAGATTGTACAGTAAAAAGTGCGTATGTTTTCCGAGCAATTCTACCTACACAGTTTAGTTCACCTCCGTTGCATACTGAGCAAAACAGTCCCTTTTAAAAACTGAAATAGTAATTTCATCATGCCCCTAAAGTTTATTTTCCCAAACTGGTATTATTAAACCGTTTTAAAAATACATGACTTGTATACATTATGTTCCAAATGAAATTGTGTAGTTAGCTCTTGTCCAAACGAAAACATACATCAACTCAGAAAATGTTAAAGAACATAAAGACTTGAGAATGACATGTAAATATCTATCAAAATTGTTAGAAACAGACCAGTTCTAAGAACACATCAAAGTTTCGAAATTCATTGTTCATAAGTGTCAATTAAGCCTCAAAACAATTTGATCGAATTCGTGCAGATTGACAATGACATGGGAACTTTCCTGTATGGCTGTTCGCAAATCAGCTATAGTAGCTGCCTGCCCTTTTTGTTTTCTCCATTCCTTAAGCATTTCGAACGTTGCTTCTTTTGCCTCTCCTTTGCGGTTCTTTTCAATTTGATCTAACAATGGCGCTGGTATTCCCTCGCTCAGGAAAAACATATTAGTATTCTTGCCAAATAAGTTAGAAACTTCTGCCAAAAATGCATCGCTGATTGGTTTATTTATTTTTCTTTCAACTTCTTGGATCTGAACCATAAACATGAGACATGCCGAAATAAGATTAAAATATTTAAAAATATTTAGTTGCTTATAGTTATGACGGCTCTAACAAAAACAAAACTGTTTGTGTTTTTCAGATAAATGGGGGACACCTAACATAAATAGTTATTGAAAGACAAACATGTTGAGGGGCTGTGTTGTTTTGTCACTTCAATGAGCATAGTACATATAACATCCAATTTGCTTTGGAAAGCAACTGAAACATCACTTTTCTAATTTAAGTTTTTTATGGTAATTTTAAACTAAACAAAGGTATCACAATACGTTGCTCATAACACTATAGTTCAAAACATTAATTTAAAAAATGGACTGATTAAAAAAACAACGAGTTTCAAAAAATATTAACTAAATGCATGAAACGTACATGAATTCATAGCAAATAGGAAAGTATTTTTCTTAAATCAATCATTTTATTCTTCTTTTGTACTACTTTCCTACATTTATTTTAACTGTAAATTATTAAGTAAAATTTTTTTTAACATTACCTGTGTAGAAAACCAAGGAGATACTTCTCTTGTAACAAATCTATTATTCTCCTCAAACACATTTTCCCATTCATTTCCTTCTTCCTCTATAACACTCTTTATTTCTTGATTCCCTCTAATTTTGAAAAAGTGACATTCTAAATTCTTTTCGTTGCTTGGTCCTTTTCCCAAGTGTTTCAGTTCGTTTTCAAAAGATTTTCGCAGTTCCTGATATTCTCTATTTATGTTTGTATCCTTTGAACTGGTTTCAATATTCAAGTCCAGCAAATAAACTTTCGCTACATGAAAGTGTACGAAAAGTCTGTGTGATTTTTTACAAAATATAAGAGAATTTTTGATTTGAGTATTATATGGCCCACTACATAAAATGTTCCAGCCTTTGCTTAAGAGAATAGTGTACATCTTCCCTATTACGAAGGCTGGTATTATATCGACATTGACGGTCATTCGGAGAGCATTGGCATGAGGAGAATACATTTTACAATCAAAAGCTGGCATTCTGTTTGAATATATGAACGGAAGCATATAAAGCGTATCATTTTGTGAATCATCTTCTACAAAAATAAAACCTGTCTCGATTAGAGCATCCGTTAGACGCTCCTTGCTTGCAGATATGTTAATATATCTATAAAATCTATACAACTTTAAAATACAATCTATAGACGAAACTGATTTGAACATCTCGGCTAAGATGCTCTTAAATTTGTTAATGAGCGTATCTGGCTTGCACACAAATTCTTCGTCATTTGATTTGAATAGTATTAACTGCTTTCTTCTGACTAGCCATTCAATTTCTTTTTTATCACATTCCTCAAGAGGACAAAAAAGTTGACCGGATGCAAACATGTTTTTGCATGATTTCGGACAGTTTGCATAGCTTAAAGTCATCTCCTTAAGCATGTCCTTCATCTTACGACACATTTCTGAAACGGGACACCATTCAAAATGACTGTGTCTAGTAAAATATGTTTTTCTGATAGCGGAAGGAAAATGACCTTCTATGTTCTCTTCGTCTACCTAAATAAAATATACAATCTTTGTTACAAATAAATATGACAAAATCTTTTTCATATTTGTGAATATATCCCCAATATATAACATTTAAGGAAATTTACAGATTAATTTGTCAATTTTGGAAATTTCTACGGTCCACCATTTTAATGAATAGTAAAGCAATGTCTGCATAATTATAATGTTGTATGTATTACAAAATAAAAGTTTGCTAAGGTCAGGAGTCAAACATATATGCTTACCGCTGAGTTGGTATCAACTAACAGCAATTTAGACTTGGCTTCTTCCAACGATGCAAGAACTCCCAATTCTTTGACAAAACCTTTATAACGCTCTGGACAAAATTAAAATATTCTTACATAATCAAGAACAACATCATTGGAACATAAACATGCGTGTCGTGCTGTAAGCATTTCTTACTATGATTCTATTAACATATATACACTACACTGCTATAAGCAATACTGTCAATATTTCTATAAGAAGTACTTTGAGAAGAAGTGCCGACAACAAATAAATTATACTCAATGTTTTGATTATAAGGTTGGCATTGATTTATTTAAGTATATTATAGATATGATATAAAGCAAAGAAGTAAGATATTTAGTTACCAATACTAAATGTGCTACTGTCTATAGCGAGCAGGATCAACGCGGGCCAGGTAAATAATGTAAATATAAATGGTGCAAGATCATCATTTATACCACTCTCTTCTTCTATAACTATTGCATTCATGTCAACTTTCATCTCCCTTTCATTTTGCTGAAATCATGAAATTGTACTGTGGTGATAATTTATCAAAAAAAAAAAAACAACAAGGAAAGTGTTTTTCAAATTTATGTTCATTTTCACAAGACATTTGCTCTTTCACACGATAATTTAAAAATTTGGCGGATGACTTATCGTTAGATACGACAATTGCTTCAATTTTAAAGAAAGACCGTCTTCGAAATATTTTGTGATACATGTATAAATGATGACTTTACAATTTTTTCTGCGTCTGCACATTTCTGCGTTCAATAATTTTGTTAAGATGTAAATTAAAATACTATAACACAAAACAAAAAATAAAGAAGAATAAAAACAACAATAAAGTTATTAGTATAGACAATTTTACAACGACAAGAGGTAGCATTTCGAGCATGCCCATTCGAGTTTTCAAAGCAGTGGACCTTGTCGTTACAGGGTCTACTAAGTGAATAAATATTCGTAAAAAAATACCACTTTTCTCGAGTCAAGCGTTAAAACACTATTTGTCTGATTACATTGCAGATTCATTTTAACATTAGTTTGGACATTTTTCTTTTCGTTGATATAATGTCCAAAGCCTTAGCCAAAGCAAAAAGTTTGGGATATTTTCGCGTGGCGTGGTCGTATTTTGGACCGGCGATTTGTTCTTTCTGTATATAAAGTGTAAAAATTTTCATAAAAAATCTCAATTGTTTCGAGCCAACTGTTAATACCATTTGTCAATTTTTCGATTAGTTGTGGGTGTCGTCTTTAGGTTATTTATAAATTATTGTTAAACGTACCATTTTCTCGAGCCAGCCGTTTACACACAATTTCCAGATTCACTATTCGATTAGTTTGTGGAGGATCTTCTTAACAGCAATTTAAGACCCAAAGCCCTCTTACCCTCAGAAGACTTGCGCATAGAGTGCTCTTTTTTTCCCCTTTGACCAGCGATTTGTTTTTTTTTTGTACAAATAAAGTATTACAAATTTCGTAAAAAAACACCATATTCTCGAGCTAACCGTTAAAAACGTGTTTTCTTATTCCGTTGCGAATTCATTTTTTCATTGTTTTTGAGGGTCTTCTTTACAACAATTTAAGGCCAAAAGCCCTAACACTAGCAATACGTCGGGGATATTTCCGCGGGGCATGTTCGCTTTTTTGACCGGTGATTTCTTGTTACTCTTAGAAAGTATCTACATATTCGTAAATTAACACTATTTGTCTGATTATATTGCATATTTGTTTTTCCATTATTCTGGAACATCATAAATTTCAAAGTCATAACCGAAGCAAAATGTTCTGGAAATTTCCGTGTGGCATGGTAGTTTCTTGTCTTGAGATTTTTCTTTCTGTATATTAAAGAATATACATATTCAAAAGATCTAAATTAAAACACCATTTGTCTGATTCCGTTACAGATTCGAATCTATTTTAGTTTTGAAGAAATCTTCTATACAGTAATATAAAGTACAAAGCAATATCCCAAGCACACGTTTAGGAAAATTTCAGCATGGCATGGTCGTTTTTTGAGCATTCATTTTATTTTTTATATGAATTTTTCAAGAACAATCAAGTAGACCTCTTTTCTTGCTAATAAATACATTTCCACAATTTTACAAAATTATCTTAATAATTTTTAAGTCCGAGAGAATTCTTTAAATATTTTTTTGCCATATATCTTTAGGGTAATCTTGGCCACAAACTTTAAAGGCATTTCTTGAAGTTTTAAAAAGCTTTTTAGTATATTTTCATACTTTTTACCTTCAAGTGACTCGGAATTCTTTATTAAGTTTTACTACATTTCTATGTAAGGCGATGATGTTTTGTTAACGCAGATTGCACATACGCGATAAAATACTACATCCAGTCGAATTTTCATAGCAACGGTCCTCGTCGTAAAACGGGCTTTACATCGCATGAAAGAGAGGAAATTTATAATAAATTTATCTTACTTCCCCTTCGTTTCGCCGATGTTGATCGCCAGTTACAAAAAAGCTTGTTGTGTCATTGCTCTCAGGTGATCTACCAAGTGGTGAAAGACGCTCCTTTCCGACAGATGAATGTGCCTCGACATCATTACCAAATGCTTCGCCGTGTGCATAGTTTTCCAAATCTTTGTCGTTTTCGATCTGAGCCTCTTTCTGATAGTCCATAGACAACACATCTGGACAAAATATTAAATTCTTTAGAAATATATTTTCAGAAATACATTATTTATAAATTTCAGGTGCGTGGTTGTAGAACAACTTCGATTCTAGATTTAATGAGCAAGAAAAGAAGCCTGATAAGCCTGAGTGATTAATTACAAAGCTTTTTGAACAAATTTATATATATACTTGTACGGCTGTCGACGGTTGAACGGCTATCTGCCCATTTGATTGTACGGTGTGTACACAGATGAACTATCTTTTTATTTAGGGGATATTGTTAAGCATATTATAATGATTATTATATAACATTCTTGAAATGAAATGTTTAATATAAGAAACCATAATTTTTTTGACCGGTTTAAAAATATTTATTAAAAAATTTCGAACCGTGTAAAGAATACAAAAGCATATCTTTTTCTTCATCAGAACAAAATTGATTTGAGTAAAATGTCATTTAGTACGAAAAGACTAATTTGCAATTTTAAAATCAAAGCTGAAAATCTTTCTTATATATGCAATTCATACCCTCTAATAAAGATGCGACTGAGATCACTGTCCACATGTTTTGTAGAACACAAGGTCTTCTAGTTTGTCGTTCAACACATGTCTGTACATTTGATTTATCTCCTAAGATATACACTTGTGTGACTGTATATTGACTGTCCATTTTAACTTCTCAAGTGCTTAATGTCTCTTTAGGTGAACTCTTGATATACAATATACAATAAATCTTAAAAAAGAAAATTGATACGTAAAAATGTTGTTGAAATGGTCATGATAACATTTAAAAACGAGAGAACATGGTAATGAGAGATAGATGATAACGCATGCCAGAAAAAACAGTATCATACATTGTGGATAAGTAGACGCTCTTTGTAATCAAAGCATTATGAGTACGAAATTAAATTGTTGGGTAAGGTCATACATATTGTCGTATAATTTGTAATGTTATACACACACACACCGACATTTAGCTGCATATCTTTTTATACTTTACATTTAAATGGTCTTTGCTGAAGTGTTCAAGAATTTCGTAATTGGCACAGAATAATATTGGGAACTTTTGTTTGTTATTCTTGAATATGTGATGTATAGCGTATCAACTTAGTGGCGTGACAATTACGAAAAATTAACCTTTTTAGGCTCAACCCGGAACCATTTTTAACAAAACATGTCATATACCAAAATGTTCCCAAATGTTAATAGGTTCCGAAACTGCCGGCATAAATTGGCATATATGGTGGCGAACATAGAAATCCAAGATGATGTCGAAAATGGCCGCCAAAAAAAATGAAAATTACCACTTACCCAATAATAATTAATTTTAAGCAGATTTAACAGATAATACACTTAAAAAGAAAAAAATCAATGTCATATTTTAACGTAAAGGATGATTTCTTGTAATATTAGCCATAGTAAATCAGTAAATTTTCGTCTTTTTTCGTCAAAATTTCCTGTCACGGTCTGTAAAATATGTTTACATTGATATTAGATGCTAAAAGTGTATGACTGTGTGACATGTATTTGATACAAAATGCATGAAAAGAACAAATACATCTGTTTTTACTTCCTAAAATTAAGTAATAGAAAGTAAGTTGTTTTTTTTATTGTTGGCAGCCATCTTGGACACCATCTTTGACTTCTCTTTTCGCCAATATTTATGCCGGCAGTTTACTATAAATATTTTGGATCATTTTGGTATATGACATGCCTTGCTTAACAAAAATGGGTCCGAGTTCAAGTTTCTGAATTGCTTGATTGTCACCTTACCATATCCTTTGTGCATTTTTCTAAAATGTGATAGATTTTAAGGTCAATATGTTACGCTATGCAATTTTAAAGCAAATGACATGAACATAAAAACAGAAAGCATGTATGTACAGCTAGAAGTTAAACCATTTCACATGATAATAACCAGAAACGGTCGCTATGAAAGTTATATCTAGGAAGAAAGAAAAATATATACGCACGATTTATATCGATAAAATACAATGTATTGTTTAAAGAAATATTTTGCCAACAATGTAAATTTCAATGAAGTAAACGACTGACACTAAAAACTGATTCAGACCATAATGCATGACTAAACGACATAAACATAGCAGAAAATAACCTACAAAATGTTGCAAAATTTGTCAAACAAAAATGAATATTCAAATCATGCATTATATCACCACTAACGTGTACCCAAAAAGATAAATGAGTTTCAAACAGGCCCAAAACATGGTATGTTTAAACACCTTATTGTCACTAAACTTAAAATTATTATAGACATTAGCCACCATTACGTGTAAGCGTTAGATACGGGGCAATTTGTACAGATACGTTTGATATAAAATTGATATTGATAAGATAAATTATAAATATAGAAGTTTCTTGGTACGCTATCTTTTGCACACAGAGTGTTATGATTATGGAACTGACATAAGAATTGAAAATAGACACAACTCATCATGATGAGGTGTCTTTAGATAAAGACCAATATATGTAGATAAAATGTATAGAAGTAACCATTGATTAAACAATGCTCGAGGTAGTGAAGTTACATTTTATATCATGCGCATGATTGAGGTAAAAATATCATTTGAAAATTGTTTTCGCGTTAGAATTGTTAAGGACATTGTTTATTTGCATACCTTTGATAAAGAGATAAAAATGTACAAAGGTTCAAATAATAATATTATTTTAAAATAGAAACAAGTCAGCAACACACGTAAGATTAGAGAAAAGTAAAATTGAAAGCATACCGATAGAATGGTAAAAACATTCTATAGAAAATGTTAGATTTTTTTTTCAGTTAAAAATTCATGTTTTATCATACACTGACAACATTCATAGTTATGTAGTATTTTCGTGTGTGGAACAGTGCTCAGTTGCTGTTAGCTATGCAGTGAACGTTATTTTTTCATAATAGTTTAAAGCAAAGAAAATGGTTAATTGTTTTAAGTTGATACTCTTTGCACAAATCGTTTTAAGATTATGACATTGAAAAAAAGTCACAACGTCATGTGTACCAATAAGATTAAAGAGAACGGTATGACTTTTGTATAGATATAATCAATGTTAAGTTAACATTAATAAGATAATGTTCCTTGTACAGTGTGTATACATTGAAGCATTCGCATTTTTTATTTTTAAATATATATAATATATAAAATTATGAAATTTCGTTGAATTGTTCAGTCATTCTAGAAGTTAACACATGTACAGATGAACACAATTAAAACTGTATTTGTACGTGTCGGATTAAAGCCATGCTATGTTATTTGACAGTTGCCATTAACACTAACTGGGACATTTGTATATGACCCATTAATAGCTAACAAGCCTAAAATTGAATGTAGTGGAAAAAAACAAGTTTAACTTATTTTTTATGACAAATTTTCTTTATATTTGTTGCGCAAATAATATATATAATTTCAAATAATCATAGCGATAACCTATGCTTATTTTAAAATATATGTCATCGTTTGATAATTCGTTAACATTTAATAAAGGTAGACATTTTGTAAGCATTTGATAACTTATCATTACACATAAAAGGACTTTTAAGCTGATAAAGGTGACGTGATGTGTACTAAAAATATATTGACCAGCTAAAAAGTACATATTTGTTTTATCATATAATTTATAAATAATTTTTATTGAATACGTATGCGATGTTTCTAAATTCATTTTCATACAAAAATTTATAGTTGATGATTTAGAATAAAGTGTTTTTATCAGTACAATATAAATATGTTTGGTTTAATCATACGTACTGTCGTATAATTCATAATCTCACACACACGCCGACATTTAGCTGCATATTTTTTATAGTTGACAATTAAATGGTCTTTGTTGAAATGCTACAGAATTCAGGGAATTGGCATAGAATAAAATCTGAAAATTGTGTTTGTTTTTCGTGAATATGCCAAACAAAAAACCGAGAAAGTATTCACAATATTTGCTCTCTTCTTATTGTGATGTACATGTATAGCGTACTTAATAGGGTGACAATTACGAAAAACTAACCTAGTAAAGGCTCTACCCGGACCCATTTAAACAAGACATGTCATATACCAAAATGTTCCCAATTGTGTATAGGTGGTAAAACTGACGGCATAAATTGTCATAAATGGTGGTGAATAGAGAAATCAAAGATGGCGTCTAAGATCGCCGCCAAAGTTATGAATATTACCACTTACTCACTATTACTTTATTGTAAACAGACTAAAAGAATGCAACAATTATAAAGAAAAATTTCAATGGCACAGTTTTTACGTAAAGGATGGTTTCTTGTTATATAAACCATATTTAATCAAGGATGGTTTCTTGTAATATAAACCATAGTTAATCAATTATTTTTCCTCTTTTTTCGTTAAAATTTTCTGTCATGGTCTGTAAAAAATAATGTGATAGGGCAAGTATGTTACGCTGTGCAATTTTAAAACGGATGATATGAAAATAAGAACAGAAAGAATGTATGTACAGCTAGAAATTAAACCATTTTACATGATTATGACCAGAAACGATCGCTATGAAAGTTATATCTAGGAGGAAAGGAAAATATATACGCACGATTAAACGAACAATATTGATCAAATACAATGTAATGTTTATAGAAATGATTTGCCAACAATGTAAATATCAATGTAGTAAGCGATTGACATTGAAAACTGATTCACATCATAATGAATGACTTAACGACTCAAACATAGCAGAAGAAATACTGAAAATGTTGCAAAGTTTGGCAAACAAACTTGAATATTCAAATCATGCATTATATTACCATTTACCTGTACCCAAGAAAGGTAAAATGAGTTTTAAAGAGACACAAGACATGGTATAATTTAACAACTTGTTGTTACTAAAATTGATCAAAATTATTACAGACATAAGCAATCATGACGTGACGTGTTAGATACAGGGCAATTTGTACAGGTACGTTTAGTATAAAGTTAAAAGTGATAAGATAATATTCCTGTTATATATTGAAGTTTCTTGGTACGGTATCTTTTAAACATATTGTTTTAAGATTATGAAACTGACATAAGAATTGAAAATAGACACAACTCATCATGAGGTGTTCTTTCGATATAGAACAAAATGTGAAGATAAAATGTATAAAAGTAACCATTGATAAAAATCTTCCTGGTACAGTGACGTTACATTTTATTTATATCATGCGCATAATTGAGATAAATATATCATTTGAAACTATTTTAAAGTTCGAATTGTTTAGGAAATTGTTTATTGACATACCTTTGATAAAGAGATAAAAGTGTGCAAAGGTTCAAATGTAAATGTTTTAAAATAGAAAAAAGTCAGCAACTCATGTAAGATTAGAGAAAAGTGAATTTGAAAGCGTATCGATAATTTTTTTTAAATGTTATGGTTTAAACATTCTGCAGATAATGTTAGATTTTCTTTTCTGTTAAAAATCAATGTTTTATCCTCCACTGACATTTATAATTATGTAATATTTTAATGTGTGGAACAGTGCTCATTTGCTGTTACCATTGCAGTGAACGTTTTTTGATAATAATTTAAAGCAAACAAAATTGTTTTTTGTTTCAAGTTGATATTCAATGGTTTGTCATAAAAACTTTGAAGAACAAGCAACAACAACAACAACGACTTGAAGATAGATGGTACAATTTTATCATGGAGTGTGCATATGTTCTTACAACAATGCAGGGGCGTGCCTCGGCTTATTTTGAGTATACGCCGAGTTCAGGTCTTTGGCCGAATGGTAGCCAGAGACTAACATCAGCTATTACAAGGGATTAAGGGGATATATAAGCGATGAAATGACATTTAATTGCACTAATATTGTCTTTATAGTTATGAAAAAAAAGTACATGTATTGAATGTAAGAGAAAAGTCTATAAGTGTGTACTGTCTTAAACAGTTCGGTTTAAGTTTCCTTTTTAACAAGTTTATTTCCTTGTTATTTTTTGTTGTTGTTTCATCATAGCGTAACATGAAATACAATCAAGGACAATATGCTTTAAATGATCTGCATTTCGATAATATGTTTTAGTGAAACAATATCTTAAATTGTATCCATAACTAAAACATAGTTGTTTTTATTCCGATCATTTAGGTTTTTTAAAACTATGTTTAAATGCGTGACATGTTAATGCGTCAACGTTGAGGAAAATAATTATAGTCTTTAACAGTTTTTTATCAACTCTTCTCTTTCAATTTTAATTCGAAATATTTAAGTTATTTCATCACGTAGTCTGCAAAGGTTCAAAAGGATCATTACGTAGTTAAAGAAGTTTTTGGGTGTTTTTTCATATAGACTTTCAGGCAAAATTAAAACAGTTCAATAGAATTTCTTAAAACTTGGCATGTTGTTAGAATATAGGAACACTTTAAGCAAAATTTGGGGGTCACTGCTTATCTGTCCCTGAATTTGGATTTTTGCTTCAGTATCAGATAATTCACAATGAATGTAAACAATACCTATTGTTTTACTTATTTTATATTGTTTACTTCTGTTTGAGTGAATGTGCAAAATTTCATTAAGGAATAAAGAGTGGATTCTCTTTTTTCACCTTCTTTTCTAAAACTGTGACATAATTCAGATGTAAAGACATACCTGTTCGAATAAGTTATCTGCCTTTGAAATGAGTAAAAAAGTAAGTAAAAAGTAAGTATAATACTCTGTACAAGGGAAGATAGCTCAGAAGTGAGACCGTCGACCCCAAATTTGTTTCGCCCAAAATATTTCTATTATCATATTCTAACAACATGCTAAATTTATAGAAATTCTATTAAACATGTTTAATTTTGTCTGTATGTCTTAATGAAAACTCCGAAAAACGTCCTTAAAAGCCTAACGCACATAAAACATGTTATCTTAAGTCAGCGAAAATATAAGAATAGACTTACCCTGGAATTAAGAATATTCTATGCTTTTCCTTGCTAATCCAGGGGAACAAACAAACATTTACAGCTCCGAAAATAAGCGCATAAGGTTGACTAATATATTGTAACAAGTAGTGCACTGTGAAGTTATAAATGTAAAATTGTGTTTGTACCGGGGGATTTGCTAGAAAAAACCGGGTTTCGGATGTTATGACGTGTATACATTGTTCTCGTTGAATATGTGGCTATGTTTATATATATATATGAGACTACGTATAATGAAAAATATCTCATTGTTTACAGAAATATGCAATTTATTTTATATATTCAATTAAATAAACGTTTTATTTAATTTACCCATGAAATATGGTGCTATATCAGTCAAATATATTTCATATTTTTTAAAAATAAATATGAATTATAAATTTGAAAGTGGGCGGAGTCAAAACTCGTAATTATTTTAAGGAACTTCTTTCGCCATTTTGTTTGAAAAATCTGATAAATACAAAACAACTTTTGTTGAATTTCGTTTTGAAAACTATCTAGAATGATAGAAAATGATCTAACAAAGAAAATAAATCTGAACACCAATATCTTTAATTCAGTTATTAATTGCAAACTCCCCGCAGCGGTTTCTTCCCCTGATCAGTACATTAACCACTGCCACCACAAGTCGTCAGAGAGCCGAATATATTTTTTTCACTTTTAATTTTAAAATAGAATACTTTATTATTTTAGTTTTCTTTCATTAAGTTGTTATTCTTAATGTACTGTAAAAAATATACGTATAAAAATTATCTTGTAAACATAACGAAAGGTATTTTCATTGTGACACCGTATGTATAGTAAACAATGACTGAAGTTAGGCAGTTATTAAACGATTGCGCAAAGGATTTTGGTACGACACTTGTTTGAAAGTGTAAACAAATTGAGAACATATTTTTATCTGGAAAGGATGTAATTATAAATCTGCCAGTTGGATATGGGATCGATCCCATAGGATATCCTTGGTGTTCTGAAACTGGCCGCCATGTTTTTGTCACATGATACAACTATCGTCACGTGATTTCAGTGGTGGCAGTGGTTAAAGTAGCAAAGCGTGACGTAACCGCTGTGAGGAGTTTGTGTACAATTGCAGTTGCTTAGCAAGCAAGGGTGTTCGTTACCATTACTCTTTGATAATGAAAGTAAATAAAAAAGATTTTTTTTTTGTTTTTCGTGAAATGTGGTATATATATTCGCTCCCGGCTTGTGAATATATGTGGATGTGGCATTTTATCATGTTTCGTGAAAATATATTCCATATTTCACGAAAAAAAAACACAAAAAAATATCCTCTCAAGAAAAACTTTCTGCAGTGGTATATTTTGCAAATACTCTTTTTACGGTCAAATAAACAAAAATTGAGTATGGTTTGTGACGATAGATGTTCGCTGCAAAGATCTGATTTATTGGACCCAAATTATTCTACACAATTTGAAATAAATGTGAGATGAATAAATTTATAAACTTAGAAATGATATACTGACTTATAATGTCAAGGTATTAAAATTATAAATAGGAATCATATGGTCAACTCCCTTCCATTGTGCTACAAACGCCAAGCTGCAAACCAAACACGGGTAAAAATGCACCACATGATTGTTTTATGTTTTGTTCACCATATGTTTTCCATATATTTAACATATGAAAACTTATTCATATAAAAACATGTGATAACCATGAATTTTACATATGTTTGTTGACACATGTTTTTCATACGGTCCTGTTAAACATATGTTAATCTTACATTTGAAAAACAAATATTCTTAAACACATGTTTTTCTAAACATATGACAAACATATGTTTTACATATGGTGTACAAAACATAAATCAAACATGTGGTGCATATTTACCTGTGTGGGTGCAAATTTCTTCTTTATACTAACATTACATCATTCATTCTCCACTGAAAGCAAAATACAATGTATATAATTTGGCATCTTTAAGGTGGCACAGAAGTGACATGTGTATGTTTTTATTTATCTTGTTCGCACGAGATTCTATGTCGTGGCCACGAGTTATTAAGTCTCGCGCACGAGATAATATGCCGTGCCACAAATTATTATGTCATGCGCACGAGATAATTTAGTCAAGTGAATGAGACACTATGTCATGGTCACGAGTTACTAAGTCGTGCGCACGAGATAATTGAGTCGTGCGCACGAAATACTATGTCGTGCGCACGAGTTTAAATAATGATTTCAGAGCATGTTTGAAGAGAAAGAAGTGCTGAATATACAATTATTTTTCATAAAAGTAAAGAAAGGTAAACAAAGTTCATGTAGTATTTTGACTTCCATACAAAATAGTAAATCATTATAACTTAGTGATTGCTAAAAAGCAACAGAAACAAATGAGTGTTCAAGTAATTGGCCAATAAGTAGCTCTTTGAAATGTTTAACTGTCCAAAATCTATATCAAACTCTCATTGTACTCTTAGGCAGAAAGTTTGCAAAAATCTCAAAATATGGTTTGTGAAATACAATGGTTATGACACATTTTGAGTACAATAGTTATTACATGTATATCGGACTCATAATCAGCCTCGACTAGTGTCTCATCCAAAATAGGTTTGATAGCTGTGTATTCGTCTAATAGAATTCAGTTTTGTTCTCAACAATGTATAGTTATCCCATAGAAAGTCAAACTACACCTGATTATCCGTTAGATAAAAACAGGTAAAAATATATTAAAGAATTTATTAAAACTAGAACAGTAAACATGAATTTATAAAAAAAACTTGTACGTATCTTCAGCGAAAATTTCGTTCTCTTTTTTTCTGTTTCTTCCTTTCAGTTTATACTTCCGATCCCACTAAGAGTTAATGCGTATTTGATCAAAACATTTGTTGCAAATTATCATGAGCGATAACCGATTCTAATTTTAAAATACATCTCATTATTTGATAAAAGGTTTATTTATAATAAATTAGAAATTTCGTAAGCATTTGATAGCTATATTTATCAATATTTGTACACCGATATGTTTGATGTTTTGCAGACAAAATGTTTTATTTGTTAAAACAGTATACAAGATTATTTTTTGCGCAATGTCTATCAAAAACAAGTATTTTATATCTTCAGTATTTGTCTTAGAATCTTTAGTAGTATGTTAGACAGGTAGAGAAATCTAGGGCACTGATATTTATTTTTGTTTGTTTGTTTTGATTGTGTTTTATGTCACACCGACACAATATAGGTCATATGGCGACGTTCCAGCTTTACTGGTGGAGGAAGACCTTAGGTGCCCCTCCGTGCGTTGTTTTAGGCACAAACTGGCACCTGAGTAGAACCACCGACGTTCCGTAAGCTAGCTGGATAGCTTCCTCACATAAAAGAATCCAAAGTCCCTGTCGGGATTCGAACTACAGCAGTTAGGGGCAAGTGGTTTGAGTCAACGACCTTATAACAAAATGTTTTGGAATAATTTTATCCAAATAACAAGAACATCACAACAGCACAAAGAATAAACACTGCCACATTTTACAGATTAACAAAATACCAGAGAGATAGATAAGACATTGGCAAATTCCTACTCAGTTAAATATCACCCGTGCTTGTTAAACTTAAAACTTATAGCGAGTAAAACTTATTAACCAGATATCAAAGTCAGTTAAATAGTACATTTATACATATGATACTATGCATATGATGAAAAACTGGCTCACTGAGTATATTCTGCAACGGTTTTTTAGTGAAAGGCATAGACAGTTACCAATATTTTGACATGCAGCAATATATAGAAAATTTAACTTTCAAATGATGTATACTTTGAAAAAATCTAATCTAGGTGTATTAAATTTAAATGCCTATTTTATCATGTTTGATAAGCATTGGTGATATTATAATAGAGTATGTAGGAACAGCTTATCTCTGTTATCTATATTTTTGTGAATACATACGTTTTTTATCATTAACTTATAATGCTTAGCTTATACTTTAATTTTCATTTTTGTTAATGCGAGCGCACCGTTCTTGCATGTCTTACTATATGCGTGACTTAGGGCGTTATGTAAAGTAGCTTAAAAGAGAAAAAAAGAGAATAAATTTCATGAAACTGAACTAAGTTTTTGTTTTGTTTTATATAGCAATAAATCGTATACCCCAAGTTGTTTTCTTGCTTCTGAAAACAAATGCTTTAATAACGCTCTAATGTAGTTCATTTCTTAGAAATGAAGCTTAAAATGGAAATAAGTCAATAAATCATTGTTCATTATTTATGGGCCAAATGTGAACTTGCAAAACCGGCTGTTGATTAATGATGTACATACAGGCTTACCAATCTTATACGAGTGATCAGTGAAATGTACTACTGGTACGTTTAAACAATAAGTAGATTTCTGGTATTTTATTTGAGGTTTACACACTTATAAAATTAGAAATAGGGTTTGTAATTAATATCAAGAAAGAAAGCAAGAAGGGCTTATTTACTTCATACACTTATATAGAATATGGAGGTAACAAACACCCAAAGGAAGCATGAAATCTTCGAGCATGATCAACCTGTCATTACCTTATCTGTTTTTATTGTTGTCTCAAGCACAACTTATTTATAAATATTGTTGATGATTGCTTGTTAAGGTAGACCATGGGTAATGCATTACCTCCACTTTGAAGAGTATTCAAATAGGCTAGAATCACTTGTCAACTACATTGAAATTGAGGGGCGTGGGTTCAAACCCCAGAAGGTGCAACTTTGTTTCTTTCTTTTTTTTCTTTTTAACATTATTTATGTATCTCTCAGATCCCTTATGAAAGAAAAAAGTGTTTGATTTTAATTATAAAATTATTGTAAGTATTTATTTGCTAAATAATGCCAAATGTAATATCAAATATGATACCAGATATTTTCAAAGCTTAATAAAATAAAAATTGCACGGTAAAATATTTTTTTTATTTCGCATGATCAACTAAAGTACTTTTAAAAAAATTTAGGGCAAACTTTGAAAACAGCCCTTCTTTCTCATTGTTGTAAATTTTAGGGTTATTTCTATGTAGGGAAATGGTCAAATAAGTGTTTTAAGCGGGTGGGGTAGGGTAACATTTTTATACATATGAACAACATTTTGTTTAGAATTAATACTTTTGCTCGTGTAATTTGTTACCTGAATGTATTTATTTATTTCTCAACAATGAGCAATAGCAAAACATATTTCATAATGATGAGATTATTAAGAGATTTCTCTAAAATCTGAAAAAGGCCCTTTTAGTAGCAAAGTTTAAGTTCAGAAATATATCCATAACTCATAGACCACACGGTAAATTTCATTTTAATTTTGCATACAGCTGACCTTTAAGGCACATAACTGTCCTATGTTGTCAATTTTTACAGTTCCTTATAGTGCCTATTACCCATGTTCTACCTTAAAATGAATATGAAACATATGTGCTGAAAGACAGTTTTTATTTATGTCTCAATTAATTAATCACTATGTAATCTTGGAGGGCATCTTGAATATCTCAAAACGCTCAAAGGTGACGAAGTGTCACCAAACGGGTTTTCAATCTTCATAATTAATCCTTTTTCAAAATATCTAAAAGAAATACCCAAATTACCCCAAACTCAGTTTAATTGTAAAATGAAAAAATAAATCCAAAAAGACACAAAATGCTTATACTGGGAATAAACTTAGGTATAAATGTTAAAATTTGATAACTCAGAAAGTTTTGGATTTAAATAAAGATTTGAGTCTGGTTGAACAAACATGATAGATATACAATGCAGTTTTATGTATGCTAGAAAATTAAAATGGCTTAGTAATTTTCAATTTATGTCGGTTAAGTTCTATCTTGAAAAGAGAACACTAAACCGTCCCGCAAAAGTCAACAAAATTCTAAAAGAAAAACAGTAAAACAAACAAATAATACCAACAACAACAATAACAAGAACAACAAAAACAACAACAACAAACAAACAAACATTCTAAACAAACAATATACAAATAATATTTAATTGGGTCTATTTCATTTGTTAGTTGTATATAATAATTGTACATATATATAAAAACAGAATTTATGATTCTGTAAGAAGTTAATAAGGCTCTTTTATTTTGAGTTTATAATATAAAACCTCACGCATATTCCGTATCAACTTTTACGATTAATTTTATACCAACCGATAAAAGAGGTTGTTTAAGAACAAGATTATCTGGGTTATCGACGTACTTTATTTAACATGCTCTTGAACATAGATCCACTATTAAAACTTTTTGCGGTCAAGAACAAGAATTAGTGGAGCATTTTTTATTTTGAAGTTTGAACTTTTACAAATATCACTAGCTGGTAAAATAAAAAATCAATTTTTTATCAACGATGTCAATACGAATTTGCAAACCTTGTTTTAAATCATATTTTATTTATATTTTATAACTAGACGGATAGTAATTTAGTACCTATACTATGCTTTAAGTTTTGAGACACAGTTTTTTTTATATAAATACTATTCGACAACAGTACATACTGCAGCTTCTGTACCAGTAATGCATGTCTGATTATAATGCCCTGTTTTCTTAATAGATTATGAGAAAATATAACAAAACTACACAATTAAAAGCCTCTACCGAAGACAAAAAAGATAACATTTTTGCATTGTTTCAGGCTATTTTACACACACACACTGTCCAGCATTGAATGCAAAACGAAATCATTAAAAGACATCATACTTCTAATCTTGTAGATTAAATTGAATGTTTTTGCATTTCATTGATATTTCAGAATTCATAATTTCTTAGTGAATGTAGTGCCATGGCGGTTTTTTTCTACTGAAAGTGACATTATGCATATTACATCGAAGTGTAGTTTGAGAGTGTAAAGGTAAAAACAACTTTACATTATACATTCAATACGCTAAAATAATAAAATACTCACATACCATAAGGACATTGCGTATTTTATCAGTAACGACCAAAGGACAAAATCAGTTGGGATTTTTTTTCATAATTTTAGGTAGTTTTTCCTTTAACATTTAACATTAAAATTTATTAATCAATCACCATTAAAATAGTCGTTCTTATCAAATATGAAGCTAATTCAGCTTCACTTGACAGCGGCAATTTGAGCATAATGTCACTTTTGAGTCGCTACAGCGAGACATGGACGGTAGCTTGCATTAAACACTTCCGATGATCGAACTAAGCATGTAATATTTTCAATATTTTACTGTTTGGCGTTCTAAAGGTGTGTATATTATTCAACTCAAATGCTTTGGTTAAAAAGAAATTTATAGTCTTAATGACGTTCTATAAATCCAAAATTTATGTCATGTCATAAAAATGCTTTGCATAACTAAATTCGAGTTATTCTAAGATGTACAGTATTGATGTTAAACACAGCAAAGTAGAGACCAAATTTGTTACACCATAAACAAATGCGTTACTACCGCTTGTTACCATGTCGGCAACACGTATTCTTCTGCAAGTAGCATAGTTAAATAGGTGACTCATGCTTGATACATCATCGGACCTTTTACGTCTATTCATATTTTCATCACAGAGTGACCCTACTTTAATTCCATAGTACGTTCTGTGATATTCAATCGATTTCTTTGATGGGGCTATACGGCATTCTTCATCCTCATACTCAAAACATTCAATGTAATCACTAAACATGCTCATATCCGCCCCGTAGAAAATCTCGCGCTGGTGATGATATGGACTGCTAGGAAGTACTGTCATTGTAGGTAGCATTGCAACAATATCTCTATAATGTACTATTCGCCAGCTTTTTGAAAGATATTTATCGTGGTTCATGGCATATTTGCGGTCACCAGGTCTTGGCATACCGAATGTGTAGAGCGTAGTGGTTTTATTATTAATGACGTTATCAAATACAAGTTGAGCCGCGGCTATGGACGCCACAGCCCCACCAAGCGAATGTCCAGTTATAATTACTCTATATGATGGATACTTATTGACTAGATCTTTTAAACTCGCCTTTGCGCATGGATATATCTGATCATTTGCATTACTGAAATACACTTGTATTTTCCCTCCAACTTTAGTGGAAACTTTGAATTTTCCAAGTACTGTGGTAAATTCTTCAATAAGCTGTTTTGGACTTGTTGTTCCACGATAAGCCAGAATGATTTTCTTCATTGAATGGGAAACCGCTGTTATTGCATAACACTCCTTGTATTTAAAGAGATAATTACATTTTCGTCCAATAATTTCAACAATTTTGATATGTCCAAATTCCTTTATTCTATTTGCACATTCAACAGGTTCGTCTGTGTAAGCCAGAGCAGAATAAAATGTAGCATTTGACGCTTCATACGGTTCAAACAATCCACTCTTTGACCCATTTTGGTAGCTTCTGTCACATTTCAACGAATCTACAACGTTGCATAGGGTCGATATCCTACTGTCTTTGCAATTTTTGCAATTATTGTAAAATGACCCTGGTGTATGGCAGGTATTGGTCATTTGACACCATCTACAGTGTACAAAGAAGGTACTTGAACTTGCGCACGAACGGCAATCTGTGTAATCACTGCAAAAACATTGCGCAACAGGCAAAGATACTAAAACCATTAACACAATGAATTCCATTTTTTAAGTAGCACTTTCTTTAAAACGTGTATCCTTTGCGCTTTTTGTTTCAACTAATACACGTTTTAAAACTACAATGGTTATTTTACTTGAAGACGAAAACAAGATTGAAATTGACATCATATCTAATCATTTGGCCACTCAAAGAAAGTAGTGGTAATTCATCTTATCATATTTCTTTTTGTGAACGGGGATTTTTAAGGGTTTACATTATTTTAAATATGACGAACGTTTTACCCAATTTTTAGAACAAAATGTTAGTAGAATGAAAATAAGCATGACTGATAAACAAATCAAATAGAGCTGTATAATCAATTCTCAGATTTCTATGTCCCTACCGAGGACATCAAATGAAATAAATGTTGAGATTAAAAGGGTAAGGGCGACAGACGATAGCTGTATTCTTACTAATTAGCGTAACGATAAAAAGAAAATAGCTCGTGAAATAAGTGAAATATGTAAAAGTCAATAAAGAATGACGTTTACCCGGACGGATTTAATTAAAACCGTGGTTCGTGTAATGAGGATTGTAACACTGTTATTTTTTATAGAATGATACTTGTACGTGTGTTTATTTTATTAAATGACTACAAATAGATGCTGCTGTAAAACTTTTATTTAGATATTTCATTAATTTATTTTTAAAATTGAATTCATCCAATAATAAACATATAATTATATTTTGAACATTGTTCTACAAGTTTGGTCTGATTGCCCAATCGAACTCAACCAATTACAATTTGCTTGAATATAGATTTACACAGCGTACCGTTAATACTTATTATATATATAATAATTAAAAACACTGGGATAATTATTCTGAATATGACATATTCGACGAAAAGATGTACTAACAAATAATTATATTGACGTATTTATCATTCGATTGATGTAAGCTAGAAAATCTTTAGGCATATGATCAACGTCATAATAGTCCAACCTGTATACAATATTATTTACTATAGATTTAGAATGCAAGAAAACATTACAGATCATTCCTCACTTCTTAGTACAAAAAGTACGGTATCACTTTTATATTCATATTAATGTTTACTGCATAAAACATTTCCTTACTTTTCATTTGTTTTGTTATATTCCATGTGCCTGTCCCTTTTAATATAGTTATGATTTTCTATCAAAATGTACTTTATTTTACAAACTGTAGTTTATTTTTGTTTCTTTCATTGATATATTTTGATATTAAGTACGTATGTCATTGTTACCATGTTTGAGTTTTGACCTATCTAATGATAGGCCAAGAGCACACAGAATTGTAAATTTTGGCCGGGTTGCACAGGTGCACGGGTTATAGTATTGACAGGTGGTCCCATACTCTGGGATTCGATTTCAGGTCTGTCACTCATCATCTTCCTGTTTACCGACTTAAATTTTCGATATTAGTAGTCAATGGTAGGAAAGTTTGTATCAGTTTTCTCAGCAACTACTTATCACAGCCTCTTGATATTTGGTATACAGCATTGACACATGGTCCCATACTGTGGGATTTGATTTCAGGTCTGTCGCTCATCCACTTTCTGTTAATATGCAACTTACTTCAATTTTTTGACATTAATGGTCACTGGTAGGAATTTTCGTAACAGTTTAATAAGTAACTACTTATTACAGCCTCTAGATATTTAGCATACTGTATATGAATGTGGTCCCATACTGTGGGATTCGATTTCAGGTCTGTCACTCATCTACTTCCTGTTTTCTGACTTAAGTTAAATTTTCGACATTAATGGTCTATGGTTAGAAATTTTCGTAACAGTTTTCTCAGCAACTACATCTCACAACCTCTTGATATTTGGCATACAGCATTGACACTTGGTCTCATACTGTGGGATTCGATTTCAAGTCTGTCGCTTATCCACTTCCTGTTTACAAACTTAGTTAAATTTTCGACATTTATGGTTAATGGTAGGACAGTTTCGTAACAGTTTTCTCAGCAACTACTTATCACAGCCTCTTGATATTAGGCATACAGTAGAGACACATGGTTCCATAACGTGGGATTTGATTTCAGGTCTGTCGCTCACCACTTCCAGTTTACTGAGTTAGTTGAATGTTTGACATTAATGGTCATGGGTAGGACATTTTCGTAACAGTTTTCCCAGCATTTACTTTCACAGCCTTTTGATATTTGGAATGCAGCATTGACACGTGGTACCATACAGCGGGGTTCCATTTCACGTCTGTTGATCATTTACTTCCTGTTTAATGACTTAGTTACATGTCCAAATTATTGTAAAATGGTTCACTTTTTTCGTAACATAACAGCATCATGATATTTGATAAAGAAATGCAACCCGGCCTATGCTGTCTTTGACCTATTTTTTTATTTATTTATTCTTTTTTTATTTGAATATTAAGTCGTTCATATATTTTTCTTAATTTTAAAGTTGTTCATTTATTATTGTTGAAATCGACTGCATAATATCTTTAGAGTACCATGTTTCCAATACCTTTTATTTACATGCTTAAAGATCCTGTAACACAACTTTTTTATGGTTTTGTATCATCAAATTAAGATTAATCAATATCGTTAGTTCCAAAAAGCATTATTTATAAAAATATTACCGAATTTAACATTTCGTGTAAATAAAGGGAGTCAAAAAGTTTATTTTCTATAAAGTTTAAGTCAATTCAATTTTTTCAATATTGCTAATGGTTTTAAAGCTGTGTTTTCTTAAATATGGATATTATTGAATCATCCTCGACATCGGGATTCTCAATATTTTAGCTCACATTATATAGCGATAGCTCAGCTATTACAATAAGGCAAAGATGCCCTGTCCGTCCTTCATCCATATTTCAATGATATCATATTTAACTACTGGTCCAATTTGAAAACATAAGTCAAAATTCTCATTTCTTGTGTCTTTGCAAGAACACTTTAAATAAATTTGGTCTATTGGAATGTAGGACAAAACCCCACACGGCAAAACCCCACACCTCAAAACTCCACACGTCAAAACTCCACACCTCAAAATTTTATAGTGTGGGCAAAACACCACACATGAATTTAAAAGAATGTACACAACCCCACACCTTAAATTTTCCAGAGTGGACATAACCCAACACTTTCTACTTATTTGTTATGATACAATTCATATGAGTGTGATCATGAAAGTAATTGTAAGAAAAAAGATTTACTTAAGTTTATATAGTTACTTCTATTGTTTAACATAGTTCCTTTGATCATGATAATAAAATGGTATCTTGTAATCTATTTTCGGTTTACAATGCAATATGATTGAAATGATAAAAGACTATACAAAATTAATATTACAAACTGTGAAATAAAGATCAAAGGGTTAACTAAAATTTCTACAACATGTTAAACAAAAGGGTAAACATTCATTATCCTTAATTAACATTAATTATTCTAAGTGTCAATAAAGTTGGTTATTTTTAAACAAATTAGTAATAAAAAGTGTGGGATTACGTCCACTCTATAAAATCCATGTGTGGGGTTTTATCCACTCTATAAATTTTGAGGTGTGGGGTTTTGACGTATGGGGTTTTGTCCGTCTTCCAGTCTATTACATGATAAGGTCACAGTCGCTAAAAAAGATCAATTTTTTTTTCAACCATCCTATTCCATAATTGTCCAAAGTTGCTTGTATTGCATTATCTATGCCATTTCCTCATGCCCCCATTCCATTTGTAACGTTATCTGTTACAGGCTATTTAAAAATATATAGTGCAAAATATTAAAAGTAATTGTTTTTTGTAATTTTTTATCTCAAAATTTTCTAAAATTAAAGAATTTTACAAAATTACATATATTTTCTACGGAATGCCGTTAGGGCCATCGCCTATTAATGTGTTGATCTGAAACGCGATAGTCGATAGTACGATGGTGAAAACGCGAAATCACGAAACTACGATGGTGAAAACTTGAAAGTACGATGATGAAAACGCCATCGTACTATCGACTATCGCGTTTCAGATTAACACATTCATAGGCGATGGCCCTAACGGCATTCCGGAATGCCGTTAGGGTCGTCGCCTATGAATGGTTTGATCTGAAACGCGATACTCGACAGTACGATAATGAAAACGCGAAATCACGAAACTACGATGGTGAAAACGCGACATTACGATGGTGAAAACACGATAGTTTATCGCGTTTTCATCATCGTAGTATCGTACTGTCGCATTTTCATCATCGTACTATCGCGTTTTCATCATCGTACTTTCAAGTTTTCACCATCGTAGTTTCGTGATTTCGCGTTTTCACCATCGTATTATCGACTATCGCGTTTCAGATCAACACATTCATAGGCGATGGCCCTAACGGCATTCCGTAATTTTCTTATCAAATTTCATGAAATTAACATGTTCCAAGTTTTACTTTTGCCATGTGAAAAACTGAAATGCTTTAGCAAGGTTATCTGTCTTTCATTACATTTGAAGGTTATGTTACAATTTATTATTTTATGTATTGTTACTGGATATAAATTTATTTTAACATAATTCTCTCATGCATCATGTTAAGAATCTAGTCATGAATGTACTGCATGCATTCATATTTTGGATTTATATTTAATTGTACCACTTAGATAATGTAGTGTTTACAGTTAATAAAGTTGTTCTCAATTAGTTTATTCTTAGTTTCTTCCCTCTTTAAATATAATATTCAACAACCAGTGTTAATGTCTTTATCAGATTAATAATCTGTAATTCAGTGGCCCGTATTCCTTTATGCTTTAAAATGTCAGTGTTTTTAGTAAGATTCATATGCATAAATGAGCAGCGAATACCTCAGTGCTTTCAGCGCTTTGATTTTATGTGCTTTTGTTTGCAAATCGACAATTGTTAATCGTATCAAAACCACGAAACAATACGGAATAGTACATATGTTATGACTTAGCAAAAACATGTTATAATTAAGCAAAAACTATCAACGCTTCAATCAAGCATAGCCTTTAACATTTTAGTGCCCTGTTTATCATTTTACTGCACTTGAATGATGATTCAACAGCGTACGATATCTTTCCTTTAACAATGTGCAGATTATGGATAGGCTGATTATCTTTTATCAGCATATTTAGTAACATTATCTGTCTGATAATCAAAACTTTCTGAAAGTAACTCGGTTTGCACTGCTTTAAGATAAATGTAGAAAGATAATATGACCGATCTTTATCATGATTCATTCATTTCTTAAAGTTTTGTAAAGTTTTGTGTTTTATTGAATAGTGAGCCTCTGTATTTATCGTGTTTGCTTGCTGGATAAAATGTTTCTTATTCACCTCTGTACAAGCATCAATACGATTACTAACCTATCTAACCTCCACTAGATAAGCAAACTGCACACAGTGTATCAGTGTCGCAAACATTGCGCTCTATATAGAGTTTCGTAATAGCATTACCTATTCACGCCCGGTAAACTGTCACTCCACTCAATAATTGTTGTGTACGGAAAAACGAGCGAACAAGAGCAGAAGACAGGTTTAAACGGCTTATTGTATGTGTTTGTGTTTAATTCATATAATTTTTTCTTCTTCAAAAAATCGATCAATGTATTGCAAAATCAAAAGCGTTTTTAGAGATGCAGTCATATACACCGACAAGTATACTCAATAAGGTAAAATGAGCTAAACCCATGTATTGAATACAAAAACATCTGCGGGTGTTACTTAATTCAAAATGTTAACATTTTTCTGTATATAATGTTGAATCTGCTTAAAGCTGTGCTGGGGGGCGTGGACGGTAGCATGCACCTTCCAGTACCGGCTATAAAGACTAAACCAGACAGAATCTGCAACATTTGCAATTTTGTCGTTTTTTGGCGTTCTTTGGGGGTTCTATTTCTCTCTGTAAATGATGATGTGATTGTGTACTGTTTAAATATACGTAGATATATCTTAAACAACAAGAACATGTTTTGTTGAAGACGAATTTTTAATCTGTTCACACTTGTTGAAACATGAATTGTCAAAGCCCGAGCAAGATTGTAAATTATACCATATTCGATATAGTAGATCGAGAAATAAACATTTTATATTTAGTGTTTGACCTAAATCATCAAATTAGTAGGATGTCCTGTAATCAAATGTGTATGGCAATACATAAAAATATTTAGCATAAAAAATATTTAATAACATCTATTATTCCTTTTTGAGAACTATATATTTCAATTGTCAGACGTTTTGATTAATTTTTCTTTGATACTATGTATATAAATACTTCAGTCTGATAAGCTTTGATAAAAACGACTGACACCGGTAAGTGGTAAGACATGTTTCATCCTTACAATATGATATTTTCACTGCGAACTAGATCTCAAAGGAACAAATTATATATAATTATATGAAATAAGATTAAAAGCTTTAACTTACTTCAACACATATTTAAACTAGACTAAATAAAGATTTACAATAATTTAACATTATGACTTACCAGTTTCCATATGTTGTATACAGATACATGTACATATAGCTCGTGTGCAAATTTGCAAAGAATGAATATGTTGTTCGATTAAAATCTTGACATAATAAATCAAAAGTAGTAAAAATGCATTGAATTGACTAAGACATACATTTTTAAATATTTCTTGTTACTAACTATGTATCTAAAACAAAGAAAATATACATACTTGTTTTATAACGTTTACAGTAAAACAGGAAGCCTTAAAGTGACATTATGCTAATTTTTTCATTGTAAAATTGACTTAATTGACTATATATTTCAATAAATTGGTCGTTATAATGATGATTGACCAACACTTGATATTTGAAAATGTTTAGGGTAAAACATTTATCTACCTTAATATATAAAAAGACTGCCCCACTCTTTTTATAAATTGCAAGTTACAGATACATCCCGATGGATACTTGCATGTGAAGTTAATTATAAAATTGAAAGAAATTATGAGAAAATGTTAATTTATTTTGACTTCGCCTGTTCACCCTATATCTAACCATGAATGGGCATAATGTCACTTTAAAAACAGTCAAAACGACAAAATTGAGCGTGCTTTATGCTTGGTTGAGTCTTTTCAAAGAAACCAAAGTGAAATGTTATTTACAGTTCGTCACACGGTGAACCGCACGTGCACGTCCTGTTAGTTATAATCTGATATCGTTTATGAACATATCATTTTTCATAACATTGTAGATATGAACAAGATAATTTTATATATTTAGTAACATTTAATGACGTTTTTTTTCTTATATTTTTTTCTTAGTATTTTTAAATCATATAGCAATAGACTGCTATAAATCTGTAAAATATTGGCCATGCTTTTTATTGCTGTATTTAATGAATGTTTTGAACTACGTAAATATGCATGGATGAAACGTAAGTAAACAAATAGAATATAAACCTATCACCAGTTGACTATTTTCAAAAGATTGTATTGACCCGTATGGTGTCAAATTGAAAAAAGGCTGTTTTTGATGACAGTTTTATATGAATAACTTTTAATGATTTTTGTTGTTGCTGTTTTTGTGTTCTTTTTGTTTGTTTGTATGTTAATTTAATGTGTTTATAATTACCTTGTGGCGGTTGTAAAGATTAAAGAGACTCCTTTGCGGCTTGCTTTGACATAACGGACTGGAAATATTTGTTTCGAGATTTTTGTTTTATTCTTTTTACTACTTGATGCAAGTCTATCGAAATAATTTTGTGTAAAACTTCAAATCATTCACTCATTTTTTTTTTAAACAATCATTGACATTGTGCATCTTTCATAATTTCGTCCGTTTTAATGGCCCCTGTTGATTTATGTAGATTTTGTAAAATGTATGGGCTTCAGTCTATGTCAGAGATATTGCATTTAAGATTGTTTAAAAAGTCATTTTGTTCTTTTATTCTAATCTTCTTCCAACTGATTGGTTTAACCACGCGACCATGATTAAGCTTTTTATTATTACCAATCAACAAGTAATGGCTTGATAATGGCTTTATAATTTTTGATGCCAGCACTATTAAGTGTTGAGAATTGATTACCGCACAAGCCGGTTCTAGGGGGCGTGAGGGATGTTGCACTTATTCATTATTCCTGATGTACAGACTCAATCAAATCGAGTCTGTAATTCTTATGTTATTTTGTTGTAATTAATGCTTCCGAGGGATCACTTTGTTTCCAGATTTTTATAAGTCTACATAATATAGAATACTTGCCGCGTAATCAGAAAAGAACGTTTCGTAAAATAAAATGTATGTTTTAATTATAGGTTTTGTTGTGACAAAATACAAAAATAAAAGTTACTTTGCTTTATTTGAATTGAAATACAAACGCCGAAAATAATGTGTTTCCGCGGCTGCAAATATGTTTCCGTTCGCATTTTAAAGAAGAGCGTATTTGAAAAAGGAAAGGAAATCGGACAATTTACCCAAATTAATACACATTGTTTGTCATATTTTAAAACAGATATTATTGGAAGACTGAAAAATTATCATTTATTATTTTTGAACTTATATACTTGTAAACAACCAAACGGGATAATATTTGATTAATTTGAAATAACAAAAAAATCTGATTCTTCATCTTATCCATTCAATGACTCCCAAACTGATATAATTTCTATTAATATGTACATACGAATGTTAACTTTGACGACAAAATTAGTTCCCATATTAAATATAAAAGTTACAGGTCGTCAAATACATTCTGAGCCTCTTCAAAGTCAATGGCTATGCCTTCCTTGGCAGCCCTCATTAGATCTTGCAATAAATCCATATTTGACGCTCTTCTGCCATCTTTGTCTATATTTGACTTCCATTGGTAAAGAGCATAAAACTTCTGATATCTTTCGTTTTCTGGATAGTTTTCTTCTATCTTCTCAACTGGAACATCCTGCATTCAATTATGATATAGAAATAATGTTTTGCTGTTTTATCATAATGTAAAACTGCTTATGAAATAGCTTTTATAGACACCTGTCTCGTTTTTATATTGTTCTGATGCATATAAACTCTCAGCAGAGAAAATTAAAGGAAACCGAAACAAACAATGTGAAGAAGGCTACCTATTTTTCTCCAACTTAAAACTAAGCCATGCTGAAAAGGTTTTTGAGCTATTGATGCATTTAAGCATGTAAAATAGGAGGTGTTAAGGATCTTTACTTATAAAGCCATTCTCCTAAAGTTTCCTATATATAATGAACTGTAAAAACATGGTTATAATGACGTGTATAAATATATTTGATATAAAATAGCATAAACAAATTAGTATGGAAGTTTTAAACCTTGACATTCATAACTTTCATCAGCCTTTTCCAGTCTTTCCCGATAGCGTTTGTCAGTCTCGACAATGTTTTCTCTGTAATATGCCTATGCTTCACCTCTTCAGGTAATCTTACGACCCATGTATCTAGATAAGCGCAATTATCGTTTCTTAGATAAAAGTTTTAGCAAATTTAGAAACAAAATCCTATAAAAATATTTTTTTTAATTATTTCTATAAGTACGACAATGTAATTATAATTTATTTAGTTTTCGTGTTCCTCCAATAAAATCCAAATGAAAAATATAATAAATTTTAATTAATAATTTTCTATTATATTAAATAAAGATTAGAAAGGCAAGCCTTAAAATTATTACTGATCGCTTTATTTTTTAATCATAACTTGAAGTAGGAACATAAATACCAAATACACTTGGACCTTCCAAAGGAATGCCTCGAGGTATCTGAAAATAAATGGAATATAAATATATCAATTAATAAAAAGTGAAGTCATGACAGATAATGTACACTGAATAGCAATATTCTAGAAGGATAATCATTGAATATTACCTTTCCATTAAACCATTCATGAAGCATTTCGACTGGCTTTAATGAGTGTGGGTCAGTTTTGTCCGAGTGCTCGGCACAGAAGAAGTCTGTTCCTACAGCATTTAATAGGTCCTTTTCATTATGCAACCCTTCCTCTAAAATATCGTCTTCCGTCGTTTCCTTGCATTGTAATTCATAAGAAAAATAGCGTGCTTCCTCTGAACTTTGTTCAACTTGAAAACGCATGAACTCTTTCTTCACAGCCGATGTTATGAAGCGACGAACTCGGTCACAAATATTTGAATCAACCATACCTGCTTTCTTTGAACTGTATCTTGTTAATCGCAAACCAATTTTTGATTGTCTGCTAAACAGATATAGTCTATGAAGATCCTCTCCTTTTCCGTAGTTAACCTCAAACACAGCACAACCACAATACATCAACATCTTCTTTCCGTTCTTAGCTATTGGCCACTTGCCTATACACAATGCTACAACACGGTAGAAGATTGCTGGAGGCATAAAGTCATTACAAAAGCTCAAACACAGAACAGGTGTACTGAACGATCCAATTCTTTCCTGCTTTTGTAGTAAGGTGATTGGTGGGATTTCTTTGAGCATACATGGAACGTAATAAAAATCCAGTTTCATAGCAGCTTCCCCATCTTCAGTCAGTATTGATGCTATTGCAATGATATCTAGTTCCTCCAGAACATCAAGAAGAAGATCAGAATTTTTTAAAAAGCTATTTTCCTCATCCAATTTCCAAATTTGCCTTGCAAACTCAGGTGTGAGTCTTCCATTTTCATTGAATTCTTCCCATTGACTCTGTAAATTTCCATACTTTGTTCTAAAATCTGTTGCGCCAATGAGACTTCTGAAGGCATTTATGATCCATTGGGGTTGCAGAATGATGAACTTGTTTAATTTGTCAGAATCACCGAAGTGGATGATAGAGCCCGTATCATGATGCGCCTTGAGGAAAATCTGAAGCTGTTTTTTTTCTTTCAAAGGACTTGCAAGTGTGTTATCAAGTTGTACAAGTTGTTTCATAGTTATAAACTGTTTCCCCTCTAATCGCTTCTCATCAAGAACTTGCTCGAGTTCAAGCCATTTAGCTGGAATCAATTCTCCCCAGTACGGCATTGTTTCTGAGATAGATAATATTGTATCTTTCAACCTTTCTAACTCCTTATCTTCTATTGTATTGTTTAAAAGGAAAAATTCGTGCCGAATATTACTTAAGTGTGGCGATCCTTGGAAAACGTTTCTTATCTTTCTAAAATACATATTTGCCTTAACTGTTTTCTCTGAATCATTCTGAAAGAGATAAGCAAATCATGACAGCTTCATAAATCACAATTGTTTTGAGTTTGCATCAACATACAAACGTTACGTCCCAAGCAGCGTTCTTATAATTCTTAACATTAAGTCCTTATATCAAAAAATATCAAATGTATGCATGCTTTTAAAGATGATTTTCTTTAAAAGAAAATTGAAAAAAGGAAAATAAGAACAAAGGCAAAAGACTTTTTGTATTTAATAGAATTAAAATTTTATAGTCAACTACATGTATATTTTTAAACTTAAAGTAATCAAATTAATCAAATGATAAAATTGCAGAACAGAAAATGTACCCCTGTGAGTTTGTCGCTATGTGTACCCACAATTACGATCGGAGGTATGCCATACGACGATCCTTTTGCGTATGTGAAAATAGATCTTAACCAGAAGTTGATACCACCTTCAATAAACAGAAGTTGCAAAATTATGTTGTTATTTCTTGTATGCATTAATCGGCTTTATTAACATAGCCAAATGAACACCTTAAGGGTCGCTCAACACTGGAAAATTAGAAAATATTGCAGGCTCCCTTTGCATGGAACATCAAATAATTAAGCTGATCTCAATATTAAAACATTTAATTAAGAATTTACAAAACCTCCACCGATCTGTATCGCTTAGTTTGAAAAATGAAAACATGTTTTATCATCTTTTAAAGCATTTAATATAAAAGTCATTTTGTTTTATACATATATCTAATGTTATATATACCAATTTCAAATTAATTAAACAATGAAGAAATAAAAGTTAATACGTGCCTTTAGTCTCAATTGATTGTTTCCCTCTTATATCCATATACCAATCGTTTAAGGTTTTATCAAGATCGTCCTCCATATTTAAAACAAGAAGATATATCGATCGTTGACTAAAGAAGAGCTGATGAGTTGCATAATAAACAAACTGACCAGCGAAGTCCCATAGTGAAACTATAGCTTCTGAGTATTGTCTTCCTTCAATGTTTCATATAATTTAAGTTTTAATTTAAATTTTCGAAAAAAAAGGAGATTGCCTAAACAATGGAAATTCATCAGTTTACAGTAAGATTACCAGTCTCACAGTTTACATGATTACTTATTAAGTAATTGACTAAAATGTAAATTGGTAAAATAAATGTATATTTATAATGTATGCAAAAATGGATTGTTTATATTAACAACAAATTAGTTTAATCTAAAAATCTAAAATAAAGTGATGAATGGATATTTATACCTATATTTGCTGTATCAGTTTTAAGGGCTTTTCGAGCTCTCTTCATGCTTCCCGTTTCATCGTTTACAATTTCAAAATGTTCGGTTGAATTCAAAGAATATAAACTTGAGAGAGGTGTTGATCGCACCTTGAAGAAGTATAAATAAAGAATAAAGAAAAATATTTCGCTGAATATATTAGTCACATTTTCTGTTATACCCTTAGTTTTGTATGTATTATCATGCATACAATTTTATTTGCACGTGTCTCTATAGCAGGTGTCAGAAAAATACATAAGATATTATTAGCATAACTGGTTTCCCGAAAAATACACCTTTCTTTAAATAATTTGAAATTAATAATATTTCAGAATAAACAGTACATAGCATGGCATTTGATGGACTAACATGTTAAGTAACAATATTACATAATTATCATCATGTACAGAAGTGCTTGAAAGACTAGATTGACAAAAAAAATATTAAGAGTAGTGATAAGAAAAACAAACTTAACCACTGAATAAAAATAATCATTTTTAAAGACTTTTAAAAAGTTTCTAATGAAACGATAATTAGATTAATTCATTTACAAAGAATGACAACTATAAATGACTGAAATTGGCTTTGCCATTTTTATCAGGGCTGTGTTACGATATTCTAGCCAGACAGAGACTTTTTGCCTTATAACGGTTAAAAAGGAAACATAAGCAAATTAAACAAGGATTTAAAAACAACAATCACCACGTAAATCACAGTGTGAACAAATAAGATGTAATACAAGAAATATTCACTGAGTGAAAGTTGTGTTTTTACTTGTATAAGTTCCACTTTGAATAACAATCTTAAGGGAAAGACTTTTTGCTCAAACCGTTTTACTGTAACAGCCTTTATACTAAAATGGAATGATAATAACTAAGCTTGAGAGAAATATTCATTCGTGTAAAAAACCTGATTACCTATACACTGCAAAACGACTTATCAGTAAATCAAGCATTAACCTTTTTTCAAACTTGTGTTACATATCATTGAATTGGCCCTACATTTATACAATCTAATGTTATATGCAAGTCTCACTTACATTCATTCTTCGACATTCACTTGTTCCCAATAAACTGGATGACCTTGATGAGGTTGAGCTCGATGCACTATCGTCATTAGCTGTACCTTCACATTCATCAATTACCCGTTTTTTGCTTAAACCTTTCGAACTATACAATTTTTGTGAATGAAGGTTATATTCGTCTTCGATATTTTTCGCACAAGTTTTGTCTTTAACTATGTCTGCTAGTAATTTTGGTTCTTGAAATTCTAAGTTTTTAATGTCTGGAAGCTGACCCTGTGTTGCTTCGTCAGCAAAGTGTAGGGTCTTAAGTTTTTTATGCGTCAAATGTTCTGTAGTATCTATAAATAATATTTACAAAGTAGTGTATATAAAAACATTTAATTTAATCAATTTATTAAAAAATATGATGACACAATGCATAGATCACTATTTTTCTAATTTTATTTCATTATAATTACTTTCAATAACTATTGAATAAAGCATCAGTATTTTTAACTAAATATTTGCCAAATTTTAACACATGTTCGTGTACATATTTATATCCTCGCAATTTATCTAAGTCATTTACCATTGTATATCTTCCATTTTCTATTTCTGATATCTATTTTACATCTTCCAGTATGTACATCTATTCCGTCAGTACTTGTAACGTCATCAATTTCCTTTCCCAAAATGCGTCGTGCTGTACTCGTTTTTCCCGCGCCATACAAGCCAACAAACATCAGTCGTATATTATATGTTTTGACTTTTCCCTTTTCCAACATTTTCTTATATAACTGCATATCTTCAGGATGCATAATCTCAATTTCGTCGGGAAACACTGAGATTTATATAGAAGTGTTTTTCAATATGTATTGCAAATATGTTCCATTTTTGTAATGCATTTTCTGATAATGTATCACAAGCACGAGCAGAAGAGTTACGTAAAGCACATGAAATACATGTATATGAGGTTCGTGTGTTCTACCACAGAATGATTTTTACATGCCTTATTGTAATCACAATTTTTCGATCTTTATATTACAATATGAAACAAATCACACCAAAATCGGCCAGTAGTTTCTTAATTATAGCCGTGTAATTTTTGTACATACAAGTTAATCTTATCCGACCGTCGGAAGATAGGTGAAAAAGTTTAGCATTGAAAACTGATTCTAGAAGATTAGCAACTTCCAGGACAACCCAATACTGCAGTCATTGACGAAAATATATCAAACAAGTCAAAAACCTTCTAGGAACCGATACACAAATAATTACCAAATGCATTGCGTACCTTTTGTGTCCGCTTTTACAATTTTTGTAGAAGAAAAAGAAGGCTAGGCTTATAACGAACAAATGAATACCAAATATCTTTACAGATAAACCAAATGAAGACATGTGTTAAAATGCTACAAATGTACCCCCGTTTTACATCCATTTACACTGTCAATAAACCATAGTTTCATTTTTTTTTTAGCAAATAAGAAAGATAAATAATAAGATATGGACACGCAAAGAGATGCACAGGAACCAGGTAGCCAATCATAAAATTATGCTAAGAAAATTATGTACGCAATATTTGGAAATGCAAAAAGAAGAAACAATTCAAATTTCTTTTCCTCATTGTAGAAGTGGCACTGGGAAACTATATAAACACTGGGTATTTTAGAATGAAATGAAGTTAAAAAGGATAGAAAAATTTACGTCGTCTGGAATTAAAACAAGAAAATGCCCGAGCCCACAACTCCGAACTAGTCTTGAAAATAAGGTCATTTAGGTGTTACAACTGTCCTCATTTCATAACTTGAAAACACATATATAGGGATGTCGATATCGGACAGGATATACCTTTAGCTCTGATGTATACCAATATATGAACATTAAACCTAAATCAGATTTCACCTAAGCATTGTAAGATCGGTTTTTCGTACAAATGTTAAGGGAGAGTACTTTGACTAAATAAAAACAGTTTCAAAGTGAAATATTTTCTAAAGAATCTGTGCAAAATAAATTGAACGGTTCTAGTATATTTTCTGCTATTTTTCTGTTATTTTCTATCCATTAGTAATATTTAAGACTCCATGACTTATCTAGCCAGTCTGATATTTTTTTTACTGTCAACATTCAATTTCAATTAAAACATGGTATGCATATAAAGGGGATATTCACTTTTTTCTGTAAATACAGGATTTATTTTCATTGAGTGGTATGAAAATTAATATTAATTTTCATGAATGGCGGTAGCCACGAGTGAAATATGATAATTGTCATACCACAAGATTAAAGTAAATACTGTATTGAATTTTCTGTTTATTATATACATTTTTTGAAAGATTTCCCCTAAAATATTTTGTTTTGGCTGAATTTAGAAATAAGTAGTCCGACTAGACACCAGTGAAAATATTGAAAAAATTGTTTCTCTGAAGTGAATTCTTTTTACAGTGAAAATACGGGAAATGAAAACACGCATTTTATTTCATTAATATATTTCAATATTTCATTTATAAGTTAATAATAAATTTTCATATTTACCAGATGAAGTTAGTCCAGGGAAAAAGTAAAACTCTTTCTTCATTGTACAATGTGTCGATGCTGCAAATCTATGGAGCCTCGCATTTTGTAACATCTTTTTAGGTCAGTCAACAAAAATATCAAAATATCATGGTTAATTATTGATAGGTAAATTTATTATCAAATACATTTTAAAATATATTTCAATTACATAAAATTGAAAAGTGCAATTGGTTGTGTATATTATACAATATTTGGTATTTGTGCCTCTAAAATAACGTAAAAAAACTCAGTCAATCCCACAGAAACAAACGAACCAACTAAAACAGCAATTTATAAAATGCAATTATAACAAGGATAAAACATTGGTACTGAAACTTTCAATAATTTTATATCTTGTTTGTAAATATATATATTCTTTTACATTCAGCTGGATTCGCATTCATTCATTTTTAACAAAAAAAGTTTGCAAATTTGCAAAAGAGTGTTTTTCGAATTTTTGAAGTTCCTGCCACCTTTATCATATGACACATTACCCGTATTGAATTTTTGTTTTGTCTTATGTTGTGAAAAATACTATTTCGATACTTTGTATATCAATACCTTTGATAAGCTTTGATAAAAACGTTTGACACCGGTAAGTGATGAATCATGATCCATCCTTACAATGTGTTGTTTTCATTGCGAACTGGATCTCCACGGAAGAGCAAATATCAATATTTATAAAACTTATACTTAAAAGCTTTAACTAACTTCAACAAACATTCTAACAAAATTTAGTAAAAATGTACATTAAATCAAAACCATGACTTACCAGTTTCCAAATGTTGTATGCCGATAGCTCGTGTGCAAATTTGCATAGAATGAATATGTAGAATATTATTCCATTAAAACCTTGAAATGATAAATCAATTGTAGTTAAAATGCATTGAATTTACTAAGACATAACATTTCAAAATATTTCTAGTTGATAAATATGTAATAAATTTTGTCCTTTAAAACACAAAAAATATACATATACATATTTGTAAATTTAAGGTTAGCACTTAACGAAAAAATGGAAAAAAATAAGAACGGTCAAAATGACAAAATTGAAAACTTAACAGGCTTAGAAGGATTTAGTAATCTTAGAGACGCCAGTAAAAATGCAATTTTTTGCTCACACACCCTAGATGGGCTCACTGTTTTTACCCTATCCCCTTTTACCCTTACACATCTGCGGATGTTTTAAAATTCAAAATTGTACCAGGTCATGTAAAATGTTTAATTTTGCTTAAGCGTGTGCTAGGGGGCCGTGGACGGTAACTTACACTATCCAGTACCGTCCATGAACGGTCTCAATCGGACCGAGCCTGCAACATTTTCTATTTTGCCGTGCTGGGCTTTCTTTGGGGATTCTTATTTTCTCCATTTTTACAACCCTCATCCCTTTCATTCCTATATGGGCCGGTATTAGTTTTTATTATTTCACACATTACGTGTCCCTTTCCTTTTGCCGCCCTTATGTCCACTCCCGTTCTTGGTTAGGTGTGTCGGGGGGGGGACTGCGTTCTGTGAATGTTTCCTTTGCCTTGTTGGTCTTTAAGCAGAACCATTTGAACATGGGCATGGCGTTTTATCAAACATTTAGAAAGTAGCTGAAAACATTAACGCTTTCCAACAAGGCCTATAGGAAGCTACACCACTGAGGGCAACACCGTTTGGATGCATTTAAGAATAACATTAATCAGGACAACAATATGAAACATAACGTTTTAAGCACCAGCGCATATCATACTTATTTTATACAAACATTTTCAAAGCATGTAATTGGAATTTACATGTAGATTAAATTCCTATTAATTTGAATACCATTGGTGTTTATTTTTCTTACTTTGTAAAGTACATACTACTAAAGTAATACCTGTTGACACTGATAAAATGTCTGGATCGGAATGCTTCTCTTCAGCTTGGTCTACTTGACCTACTATGCTGTCATCACCTTTTGTTAATAATAAGATATTATAGCAAAATGTGCAAACAACAGAAAACATAAAGTCATTTTTATATAAATAAAAAAAAGAAAAAAAAGACAGCAACAACAAAAAGTAAAACTACAACAACAAACAAATTTCTGTCATTGCTATATATAATGTAATACTTTCGAATTACTCAAAGCTAATTTAAAGTATCTTTACTTAGAATATACATGTATAAGTAAACATATTAAATAGAATATTTATTTCATAAAACCAACTCTTCTTACCTATGGCGTATATAAGTTTTGGTTTTCCTGTCAGCAAAGGTGCATTTGTGTCATTTAAAGAAGTCGGTATGTAGTCAAATGTGAAGTTATCCGGTGTTCCAAATATAATTACCACAAATGAATCCACATATTTAATGTCTTCGCATTTAGCCTCCTCAATAACTATACTTCTGATATCCTAATATAATATCCATTGATGAAAGCAACGCAACATTTGACAATTATATTTCAAATATATATCTTATTCAATATGCAAAGTTACTAGGCGATAGTCTCTACATATAAGTTTAGAATCAATCATCGAGAAAACTTTTTTTCTGTGTGTAACTATAATGTGTTGAAACAATTACAATAAAACTTAACATCATTGCCAAGAAAAAGATGTTCAGAAACATGTATTCTAGTGTTAAATGGCGTATTTATGTTACCTCTTCAGATTTTCCTGTTTCAATTCTGACAGTATAGTTCATCTGCGTGAAAAGATCTTTAAAAAGTCGCAATGCTTGGTAACTTGCATTTGCTAATAGGAGAACTCTGCCTCTTACATACCGTGTAATTGCATAAACCTTTAAAACAAAAAAGTCCACGTGTAAATGTATATCTTATTTTCATATCGGTAGTTTAGTTTTCGACATAGACAAAATTTGAAAAAAGAAAACAATGCTATTGAATTAAGAAAGTTTTTCATGTTAAAAACCTTATATTGTAAACATTATAATGGTAAATATTCATGATATGTTCCAACCGTGTCTTTTGCTTTCATTTGTTCTGCCATCAAACTATCTGGGGAGCAATGTGTAATTATAATTTCTCGTTCTGTATGTACCCACCGATCAAAATCCTTATCTGCAAACGAAAGAAATTAGAAACGTTTGTTTGTTAAACATTAGGCTTCAAACTGATTTTACAAAAGAACAATAAAGTTGAAATTTAAACTACATTGAACGAAATGCAATATGTACTAATTCACGCAACTGTTTACCCGGGATCAGAAAAACGTTAGGAAAATTTATTTCCTTTGTTCATAACAACCGAGGTAAAATTTTTTACTGAACCATAATAAATTATATCGAGCTTTCACAAAATGTTGCATATTACGAAGACAAAGGTATAGCATTTTTATGACCATCATCAGTGTTTCAAGAATTCGAAAAATTGGTATAATTATAGTAGTAACTTACCGAGATCGTACATGTTTATCGGAGTGCCATCAAGTTTTGTAATAATGTCGGCAATGTCCATCGTTCAGACTGTTTTTCAACAATTTCAACATTAAAGGGACTCCACTAAGGTTTAAAAGCCTAAAATTATAATATTTGAATTTCTTACATAAATGAGCTTGGGTATTTTAAACAGAAATATATGCAAAGATAGTTAAGAAATTTACTTCGGAATAACATGAAAAAGCGAAAGTTATCAGAAATTTTGCACAAAGATTAGTGGTCTATAAATATTACGACAAAAAATACATTCCTTCTTATTTTGCTATTTTCTAGGGCTATACATATGTACACCTTTTATAGGACAAAACACAGCCTTAATCTATACAATTATGAAACATGAACTGTAACAAACTAATTTTAATTCCTTCAAAACAAAATCCGATCTATTTCACTATTTTAACACTTTCACAATTATCGTGTGTTAACCGTGTACTCTTATAAAATGTCTAACAAATAAAGCATGTTATAAATTGAACAAGTTTAAAATTATTGATCTAAATTTTATATAAGTTAACTTTAATAGCATTCAAATATTTCCTTGAGAGCAAAACAAATTGACTATTCTTTATGAATTTACGATTTTAAATAAATGACCCTGATCCAAATAATTGCTCATTCATTTTTAGAAATGACCTGCCAAAAAATAACATATCTATTACATTAAGTAGAGACATAGTGTATATTGATTTAAAAATACTGAAGAATTGAAGAATTTTCTACCAGGAAGTTAGTTTTCTTCCTGGTTTCATTTTATCGAAACAAAATGCTAGCTTAAGCAAGACGCACGTAGACAATTATTAGATATGCAATTTGATATGTAAACATGAAGCCTAATGTGTATTTGTATACGCCCTTGAAATATATATATAATGTTATGCACCTGGTCGTCCGTCCAACAACTTACCGAGATCGTACATGTTTTTCGGAGTGCCATCAAGTTTTGTAATAATGTCGGCAATGTCCATCGTTCAGACTGTTTTTCAACAATTTCAACATTAAAGGGACTCCACTGAGGTTTAAAAGCCTAAAAACATAATATTTGAATTTCTTACATAAATGAGCTTGGGTATTTTAAACAGAAATATATGCAAAGATAGTGAAGAAATTTACTTCGGAATAAACTGAAAAAGCGTAAGTTATCAGAAATTTTGCAAAAAGATTAGTGGTCTATAAATATTACGAAAAAAATACATTCTTTCTTATTTTGTTATTTTCTAGGGCTAGACATATGTACACCTATATAGGACAAAACACAGCCTTAATCTATGCAATTATGAAACATGAACTGTAATTAAACTAATATTAATTCCCTCAAAACAAAATCCGATCTATTTCACTATTTTTACACTTTCACAATTATCGTGTGTTAACCGTGTACTCTCATTAAATGTCTAACAAATAAAGCATGTCATAAATTGAACAAGTTTAAAATTATTGATCTAAATTTTATATAAGTTAACTTTAATAGCATTCAAATGTTTCCTTGAGAGCAAAACAAATTGACTATTCTTTATGAATTTACGATTTTAAATAAATGACCCTGATCCAAATAATTGCTCATTCATTTTTAGAAATGATCTGCCAAAAAAAAACATATTTATAACATTTAGTAGGGACATAGTGTATATTGATTGAAAAATACTGAAGAATTGAAGAATTTTCTACCAGGAAGTTGGTTTTCTTTCTGGTTTCGTTTTACCGAAACAAAATGCTAGCTTACGCAAGACGCACGTAGACAATTATTAAATAAGCAATTTGATATGTAAACATGAAGCCTAATGTGTATTTGTATACGCCCGTGAAATATACATAATGTTATGCACCTGGTCGTCCGTTAGTCAGTCTGCTAGCAGGTTTCGTGTCCGTTCTGTATATTTTGAACCCGTAGAAGGAAATTGAAACTCCTTCGCAGAAATATAGACTATAACAAGACGATGTGCTGATCGCAGGTTTGGCCTTCCTGATGTCAAGGTCACAGTCATATTGTATCAATTTTGACATTTGGTGTCTGCTCTGTATTATTTGATCGACAGAGAAAAAAGAAAACTTTTGGCAGAAATGTTACTTATAATGAGACGATGTACAGAACACAGGTTTGAACTACATGAGATCGAGATTAACCACGCCCCAAAGATAACTTAATTTATATAGACTTACATATGAAAACATGTTTGAGTTACATTGCCTTAGAGACCTTTACCAAACTGCTATGAATCATGCGCCCTGGTTCAATATTTTCCCCGCGCTAGGGATCACTTAATTTAATAGACTTATATAGGAAACATATTGACATGTGCAACTGAAATGCCCAAAGCTTAATATATTTTTCATGTATAATCGCTTGTAGACCACAATATAACTTGTAACCATACCCCTTGGGGTCACTATTTGCCCTGCCCCGGTAGTCACTTAGTTAATATGGTTTTGTATAGGAAAACATATTTAAGTCATATTTTGGTGAAACTGCAATGTCTAAAATTTATACATTAAGCGTGTAGCATTACCTTGTGCACCTCTGTAAAACTCATATTAATCCTGTCCCTGGGGTTAATATTGGCCCGCCCTGGGATCAGTTGATTTTTATAAACATATACATATATTGAAAAACACATTTATTTCATATTGTGTGACACTACAAAGCTAAGAGTTTAGATAGTTGGCATGTAGTATCAAGCTGTAGATTTCTACGGTTTATTAATCATTAGTCACTTGCTTTAAGTAGACTAAGGTAGATGACACATGCACTTTGGGTAAATAATGCTTCTTCCTAGGAGGTCATATATAATCACAGGGATAATTTAAATAAAATATTGTTTGTAGTCATTACTTGAATTAAAAGATAAACTTTTTTATTACTCAAACAAATTAACATTGGGGGCGTATATCGCTCCGCCTTTGAAGTGCTCTGGTTAAAAAGGTAAACGTGAGATAATATTGAGTTGGTGTATTTTTAAATGTACATGTACTAGTTTTTAATATATTGATAAAGGTTCATCAAAAAATGTCGGTCATTATTTTATTGTCTGTTATCGTTCAGTTAGTATAAAAATATTAAATTAAGACGTTTAAAGTATGACAAATCTTATCTTATTAAACATTTTCGTTATCATAAAATAAAGGTTTATTTCCTTGTCAAATCAACTTAAAACCACATAGGACACGGGATAGGCCTAAACAGTAAAATATTTTCTTTATGCTTACCCATCCTAAATGTGTTAATAATTACCTTGTGACGACTTCGAACAATAAAGGGACTTCACTAATGTTTGCTTTGACATGACCGGACTACCAGATTTTTTCTAATATATTTGATGTATGTCAATACCAATAATTTATGTGCAGAACTTTAATTCATTCGCTCATTTTCTTTAGACAGCTGTCAACAAAAAGTATTTATTTCCCCAATATAACTTCCGTGTTACCTTCCTATCTTATCCCTTGCACTTCAAACCACTTGCCCTTTACCGCTGTTGGGTCGAATCCTGCCATTGGATTCTTTCATGTGAAGAGCTATCCAGCTAGCTGACAGAAAGTCCATGATTCTACCAAAATAAACCACCTGCTTGTGCATTAAATAATGCACGGAGGGGCACCAGAGGTCTTCTTGCCACTAGTAAGCTTGAAAGTCGCCATATGATCTGTTCGGTGTTAGTGAGACTTAACCCACTCAACAACCCTAAAAATGTTATCTTTTTTGCCCTTGAAAATATGTGCATTTGTGTAATCAAACAAAATCAATTGAGGCGATTTAGCATACCCATTTCAAGGCTTTATGATCTAGTATTTTGCTATGCCAGAAATCGATGGCCCATAATGGAATGTCTTAGCGTCCTTTGCATACTGCAACATAAACTCTCTTATATTCCTTCTTTCACAAATTTGTTAGATTTCATCAATTGGTTTTGATTGACATTACTATAAATTTCGAATGATATGAGGAATCTCCCGTGATGCAATTAGCAGTCAATCGAAAGTAATATTGACCACAAATATAGATGCAATTGTTATAAAAAAAACAACATAATTATATGTGGCGCTGATTTACCTGTTTGTAATTAAAAATCAACAGTTATGGGCATATAGGGTACCAAACTAATCAAAAACAACGTTTTGTAGAATAAAAATATGTGTAAATTGGTATAACTTCAGACAACAATCTTCCTGTCAAAATACAACGATACAATAAATTGGTGTTCTGCTTCATTTGAAAAAGAATACAATTGCCGTTAACAAGGAAGAATGGTCCGTGGCTGCGTACGGCTGCCAAAAAGGACGTAGCCATTGGTCTGCATAATTATTATATAAGGGCTTATTTGCGGGTGCAAAAAGAAATTAGACAATTTACAAAATAAACAATTTTATTTTTGTAATATATATTAAATTAATAGATAATTATATAATGACTGAAGAAAGAATTTAACTCAAATCGAATAAAACATAAGATTATCATTTATGATTTCTTAACTCGTATAATGGTAAACAATTAAACGGAACAATATTTTACAAATTTGAAATAAAAATGTTTTCTCTTTCTTTCCAAACTGATATCATATCTATGTTATACATACGAATGTTAATTTTGACAAAAGAAATATTTCCAATTTCAAATATTAAATTTTAAGTTAAATCTCGTCAAATACATTCTGAACCTCCTCAAAGTCAATGTCTATGCCTTCCTTAGCAGCCTTCATTAGATCTTGCAATAGATCCATATTAGATGTTCTTCCGCCATCCTTCTCTTTATTTGACTTCCATAGGCGAAGAGCATGAAACTTCTGATATCTTTCATTTTCAGGGTAGTTTTCTTCTATTTTCTCAACTGGAACATCCTACATTCAATAATTATATAAAAATAATGATTTTAATGGTTTAACATAATTTAAAAATACTTATATATCTTTATAACAACTATATTCGTTTTTATATTGCTCTTATGCATATAAACTTAAAGGAAACCGAAACAAAAAAGGTGAGGAAGGGCTACTTTTATGCTTTAAATGTTTCATGAAGCATGTCAGATACAAGATGCTTAGAATCTTTATTGATAGAGCTATCATGGTAAAGTTTCCTATGTATTGAACTGAAAAATATGGTTTAAATGACATGTTTATATGTATTTATAAAATAAAATAATGAGATTAAAATGGAAGTTTTAAACCTTGACATTCATAACTTTCATCAGCCTTTTCCAATCTTTCCCGATTGCATTTGTCAGTCTCGACAATGTTTTCTCTGTTATATACTCTTGCTTCAACTCTTCTGGTAATCTTACGACCCATGTATCTAGATAAGCGCAATTATCGTTTCTTAGATAAATGTTTTAGCAAAATTAGATACAAAATCCTATAAAAATATTTTAGTAAAAAAACTTTCTGTAAGTACGACAATGTAATTATAATATATTTTTCTGAAGTGTTTATTTTATGTTTACATTCAATAAAATCCAAAGAAAACATAATCACTGTTTAATTAATAATGTTCTATTATATTAAATAGATATTACAAATTCAGGTCTTAAAAATTATAACTGATCGCATTTTTTATTGTAACTTTTAGTAGGACCATAATTAAAAACACCATTACCAAATACACTTGGACCTTCCAAAGGAATGCCTCGAGGGATCTGAAAATAAATGGAATAGAAAATATAAATATATCATTTAATAAAAAGTGAAGTCATGAGAGATTATGTCAACTTAATAGCAATATTCTAGAAGGATTATCTTAGAATATTACCTTTCCATTAAACCATTCATGAAGCATTTCGACTGGCTTTAACGAGTGGGGGTCAGTTTTGTCCGAGTGCTCGGCGCAGAAGAAGTCTGTTCCTACAGCATTTAATAGGTCCTTTTCATTATGCAATCCTTCATCTAAAATATCGTCTTCAGTCGTTTCCTTGCATTGTAATTCATAAGAAAAATAGCGTGCTTCCTCTGAACTTTGTTCAACTTGAAAACGCATGAACTCTTTCTTCACAGCCGATGTAATGAAGCGACGAACCCGGTCACAAATATTTGGATCAACCATACCTGCTTTCTTTGAACTGTATCTTGTTATTCGCAAACCAATTTTTGATTGTTTGCTAAACAGATAGAGTCTATGAAGATCCTCTCCTTTTCCGTAGTTAACCTCAAACACAGCACAACCACAATACATCAAAATCTTCTTTCCGTTCTTAGCTATTGGCCACTTGCCAATACATAATGCCACAACACGGTAGAAGATTGCGGGAGGCATAAAGTCATTACAAAAGCTCAAGCACAGAACAGGTGTACTGAACGATCCAATTCTTTCCTGCTTTTGTAGTAAGGTGATTGGTGGGATTTCTTTGAGCATACATGGAACGTAATAAAAATCCAGTTTTCTAACAGCTTCACCATCCTCAGTCAGTACTGATGCCATTGCAATGATATCTAGTTTCTCCAGAACATCAAGAAGAAGATCAGAATTTTTTAAAAAGCTATTTTCCTCATCCAATTTCCAAATTTGCCTTGCAAACTCAGATGTGAGTCTTCCATTTTCATTGAATTCTTCCCATTGACTCTGTAAATTTCCATACTTTGTTCTAAAATCTGTTGCGCCAATGAGACTTCTGAAGGCATTTATGATCCATTGGGGTTGCAGAATGATGAACTTGTTTAATTTGTCAGAATCACCGAAGTGGATAATAGAGCCCGTATCATGATGCGCCTTGAGGAAAAGCTGAAGCTGTTTTTTATCTTTCAATGGACTGGCAAGTGTGTTATCAAGTTGAACAAGTTGTTTCATAGTTATAAACGGTTTCCCCTCTAATCGCTTCTCATCAAGAACTTGCTCGAGTTCAAGCCATTTCGCTGGAATCAATTCTCCCCAGTACGGCATTGTTTCTGAGATAGATAATATTGTATCTTTTAATCTCTCTAACTCTGTGTCTTGTTTTGTGTTGTCTAAAAGGAAAAATTCATGCCGAATATTATTTAAGTGTGGTGATCCTTGGAAAACGTTTCTAATCTTTCGGAAATACGCTTTTCCTTTTTTCATTTTTTCTGCATCGTTCTGCAATAGATAATTGTATAATCAGTAATATATATTAATAAAGAAAATATACTTATGCGTGTTTTCTATAGTTTGTTTAAAACTTTCTTAAATAGTATACTATAAAAATGATTAAGAACAGTCAGCTATCATAGAAAAATTAGGTTCATAAAATGTTAAATATGAAAAACAATTAAATTACCCCTTTCAGTTTGTCGCCATGTGTACCAACAATTACAATAGGAGGTATTCCAGAAGACGATCCTTTAGCATATGTAAAAATAGATCTTAGCCAGAAGTTGATCCCACCTTCAATTGATAAAAAAGAAAATGTTGAACTTTTTTCCTTTCATAAGGATTCTCAACACATTTTAGTAAATATTTAGATAAAAGGTGATTGTTTCTTACTTTATCTGATAGCATTTTGTCAAGCCTTCTGTAGTTTAAACATTATTTTTTGAAGTTCGATTATCAAAGTTACTTTTTTAAATTCTTCTCGGACCCACGAACTGAAACTAGCAGTGGTGTCATATAAAGATATATGACAATGACTCAAGAAAGGCTCGAATTATAAATCCTCGAGCTGAGAGTTCCCTAATCGCTTTCTTTTATAACGTAATGTAGAAAGGTAATGCGTATCATTCTAACTGAATTAACAGTTAAGTGAAAAGAAAGATAAATGATGTGGTAAATATATACCCTTTGTCTCAATCGATTGTTCTCCTCTTATATCCATATACCAATCATTTAATGTTTTCTGAAGATCGTCCTCCATATTCAAAACAAGCAGATATATCGATCGTGGACTAAAGAAGAGTTGATGAGTTGCATAATAAACAAACTGACCAGCGAAGTCCCAAAATGAGACAAGAGCCTCTTGGTACTGTGTTCCTTCAATATTGCAAATGATATCAGTTCAAAAGAAATGTTCAACAAAACCAATGATTGACTAAACATTCATTGTCATACTGTCAAATATTAAAGCATGTCAATAGACATTTAAAACTACACTTTTTTATTAATCTGGAAATACATATTTAATGAAGAACAATTAATGGTATTTGATTTCAATGTAAAGATGAAGCATTAAACTGATGGATCAATCTTTTCCTTATGGTCTTAAATGTTAGCTATATTTTATGATTAATTTAGTTCACGAAAGAAATTGAATTCAATAAAAAAGACAGAACACATATATTGTATCTAATATTTGTCTTGTAATCATATTATAAAGTAACGTTTGAAACCCTTGTTTGGAGTGTCAGCTGTCAGGGCTTGGCGAGCTCTCTTCATGCTTCCCATCTCATCGTTTACAATTTCAAAATCGTCAGAATATGAAGTTGATGATATTGATCGCACCTTTAAGACGTATAGATATATTAATTTATTCACTCTATTGAATATTGATTATAACTCTCTCGGGATAAATGTGTTAACTATAAAAAATCTTTCTTTACTTCATATTTAATGTATTAGAATGAACAATATGTGCTGAGTATTTTTTTTTCAGGAGAAATCAATGGCATTTATCATTTGAATACATGAAAATTAGTAGGACAGTTATTAGAAACAACTGTGCTGTGCTACTTTCCTTCTCCATAAAGTACATGTATCCATAGATCCCTGACCTTTCCAATTCTAACTAGAGTTGTAAACCTTGTCACATATGATGTGGTTGATGACCAGAAACTTATATTTGAAGTAAATACGTTTAAGAATAAAGAATTTATAGTGAAAAAGCGTACAAAACTAGAATCAGACATCTTGACGAGGTCCAGCCATGATAGCTCTAAAAATACTCCATAAAATCAAGATTAAAATGATGTGTATAATTTCTATACTGCCATCAATCCATATTTTAAGTTTCATAAAATTTCAGTTCTCTTCGACTTGTCACAAATATTGTTATATTTGCCATGTTTTAAGCCTTTTTGTTGCCATAGCAACCAATTTCTTCAAAATAGGAAGAAAACAAAAAGACACTGCCATCTACCCATATTTCAAGTTTCATAAAACACTTTCAGTGCTTTTTGCATTATCACTTAATCTAGTTTATGTGATAAATTTGACATATTTTCAGACTATTTCTTGCCATAGCAACCAAAATGTTCAACATAGGAAGAAAGGATAGAGACGTGCATATTCTAAAGCCTGCCATCTACCCATATTTCAAGTTTTATAAAAATATTTTCAGTACTTTTTGCGTTATTACTGGATCCAGGTTATGTGTTAATTTTCCTATATTTTCAGTCTATTTGTAGCCATTGCAATCAGAATTTTAAACATAGGAAGAAAAAAAAGACGTGCATTATCTCAATACTGCCATCCATCCATATATCAAGTTTCATAAAAATATTTTCAGTACTTTTTGCGTTATTGCGGGATCCAGTTTTTCTGACGGACGGACTGACTGACAGACGAACGTTCTAACAGGAGAGTGATAATGTGGCTACTCTTTTGTTCTCTCTATTGTTCTACTAGCCACACAAAAGAAAATAGCCACATAAATGCATTACGGAATGAATGACATCAAAGAGAAAGAACAGTTACCTATTGTCTCTCTATAGCTAGCCACATAATTACTATCCTGTGAGTGCGGATGTTCTGACGGACGGACGGAAGTTCTAACGGGACAGAAATAATGTGGCTACTCTATTGTTCTCCTTTTTTAGAGTAAGGATCTCTCAATTGTATCATATCTAATATGTTTAACCTTTCATTGGATAAGCCATTCATTGTAAAGTTTTTCAAAGGTGCAACATATCTAACGCCCTCTAACAAAGGCGAATTCAAGTGATACTTACATTCATTCGTCGAAATTCACTTGTAACCGATGAAGTAGATGCACTGGATGACGCTAAGCTAGATGCATCATCATCCAAGTCATCATCATCACATTCATCAATTGACCGTTTATTGCTTAGAGTTCTTGTTCTATGCGACTTTGAAGTATGGTCATTGTCTTCATCCATTTCCATTGCACTTGGGCTGTCTTCACTCGTTCCCCTCTGTAATCTTGGCTCTCGAAATTCTAGGTTTTTAATGTCAGGAAGCTGCTCCTGTGTTGTCTCGTCAGCGAAGTGAAGATCCTTCAATTTCCTATGTGTCAAACTTTCTGGTGTATCTGTAAGAATAAAATATACACAAGTATTGTGGGTTTTTTACGTTCACTGATTAAAAACACAGCTTTAATTCTAATTCCTGTTCCGTGTCAGTCAGAATAGCTATTTTCGAGGTAGTAAATCAGTTGGATTTAAACATACTTGAATAAACATTTTTCAATCTTACAATGTAAATGCATTTTACCGTTGTATATCTCCCATTTTCTTCTTCTGATATCTACTTTACATCTTCCAGTATGCACATCTATTCCGTCAGTACTTGTGACGTCATCAATTTTCTGTCCCAAAATGCATCGTGCTGTACTCGTTTTTCCCGCGCCATACAAGCCAACAAACATCAGTCGTATATTATATGTTTTTACTTTTCCCTTTTCTAACATTTTCGTGTATAACTGCATGTCTTCTGGGTCCATTTTCTCAATTTCGTCAGGAAAAACTGAGATTTACATATAGAAGTATGAAAAATATGTTCCTTTCATATAACAGTTTTTTATATTTCATATTGTACGGCCATAAGATTAACTTGAAATAAAAAGTACATGATAAAAAATTTTCTAGCTAACTGTGTTAATTAAAACTTTAATACCAACCAGTTTTCCTATTTCTATTTACGTTACAAGATTTAAACTTCTGCTATTTTGACCTTTCTAGTCTCCAAAAACAACTTTCTCAATTTCGACGAGAAACACTGATATCTAAATTTAAATTAATTCAAATTATGCCTCTGTTTAATGGCTTCTCTTTAAATTTCGTTCAATAAATATTCATATAAATGCAAACCAAATGTGCACATATGACAAGTGTATATATACATTTCATACTCAATCAGACTTATGTTAAAGGCTATATGACTAACGTTCATAATGTTTTGCATTCATTCATTTATATGTAGTTTGAACAAAGAGATAAAGGCTTGATATATTTATTATTTTCATATTTACCTGAAGAAGTTAGTCCAGGGAAAAAGTAAAACTCTTTCTTCAGTGTGTAATGTGTTGAAGCTGCAAATCTATGGATGCTTGCATTTTGTAACATCTGTTAAGGTAAATCAGCGAATAGATCAGAACATATGAATTCAATTAACACAAATATATGGTAAAAGTTAATTTTATTTCTACGATTAAACAGATAATAATACTGTGGTAACTACAATAGGAAAGGGTATCATTTATTTGGGCTTTTTCAGTAACACAAAAATCTTTGAAGCGGCTCCTACATTAATAGTTCAAACGGTGAAACGAATTTTAAAGAAAACGAAGGTGTAGGAAATATCAGTTCTAAGTGCTACGTACCAGTTTCCAAATGTTTTGTGCAGACAGCTCATGTGCAAACTCACATAGAATAAATATGTAGAACATTATTCCATTAAATCCTTGAAAAGAATATATGAGAATGATGATAATAAAAATAAAAATATGTTGAACTCTTTGAATTGTACAAAGTAAGTACTTAGTTTCACAAATGAATACAATGGAACCTTTAAAGAAAGAACATAACTGTTAAAAGTGTTGCAGGCTCAGTACACGACGCTCAGTTTGACTGGGTTTAATTATGGACGATAGTGATAATACAATATATTGTGCAATTCACCTAACAATGGATTATCATAATATGCAGAACAAAACATGACGTTTAATGAAGAATAAAGAAACATCATAAAATATGGCATAGTTATGGCAAATAATCACTTAAACTTAATCCACAAATACGTTAATGATTACATTAGCCGGAAGTAAAAATTAAAAGTTTAGTCTGTCCTTTTCAAATTATGTTTTTCATTATATACGGTAATGTTAAATTGATTTATATAAAGCATTACGCTTATCCAGAAAGCAGGGAAGTTTTGAAGTAAGATTTTGACTTTCAAAACGGCTGCTTATTTAGAAAAAAGTTTTAACCGTAACAAATGATTGATACCTAAACATATTATTTTTATTTGAACAAGTATGAAGATGTTGCTAAAGTTTATTTTGAAAGACCATTTTACACTCACCTGTCGATACCGACAAAAAGTCTGGGTCTTGGTTCTTTTTTCCAACCTCCTCTATCTGTCTAACTATACTATCGTCACCTATGTTACATATACAACATTTTAATTTAAGATAAACACCGAAACGAAGATTTTTTTCTAAGTGGGCAATTTATTACTGTAACAGCTTTTTATTCATTACAAGCCTATGAAAATATTTTGTTTTGAATGAAGTCTTCACTACTAGGTTATAACAAGTCTTAAAGACGCAAACAGTATTTCATTCAAAATGCACAACCGATTAATTAAAATATATTACTGTATTAGTATAGATTGTTGAAGTTGCTATGTCTTCGATAAATCAAACAAATGACGTTGCCCTTAATATGGCATTCATATAAAAACTGTGGTAGATTTATTATCACACTTTAAAAGGGAGCGGTGTTCTGGTGGTTTTCTTATTTCCCCTTCTCAACATAAGAATCGGCTACGAGCAAGACCATGTTTGACATAAGTAATATTCAGTTATATTGAATTCAGGAAGAATATCCGTGAGTTGTCAAAATATGCTGCAAACTTTCATCACAATCAAGCCAAGCAAAATACGTTTTTGATTAAATTAAATAAGTCTCTTTTTTTCTTTTCAAAAATGATCGAAGGAACGAGGCAAATAAAATGTTATTGATATACTATAATGCAGAATTCTCACCTATTACGTATATAAGCTTAGGCTTTCCTCTCAGTAGTGGTGCATTTTCGTCATTTAAAGTTGTTGGTATGTAGTCAAATTCGAAGTCGTCTGGTGTTCCATATATTATCACGACAAATGAATCTACGTATCTGTTGTCTTCATTGTGTGCTTCCGAATTGATAATACCACGAATATCCTAATGTAATTCATGAATTAAATTATTGATACTTAGAGTTAAGCTATTGAATCCTGCATCAATAAACTGTACAATGAAAATCCTAAGGTGAAATTAAATATTGCAATTTAAGTTATCAAATTAATTCAACAATTACATTAACAAATGATTCTCTTAAAATCTAGAGAATCATACCAAAGAAGATAATTATTTATAAGCATTCAAATAACAATAATAAATTTGAAGTATTATTATTCAAGTTGCATGCTCACTTTTTCAGATTTCCCTGTTTCAATTCTAACGGTGTAGTTCATCTGCGTGAAAAGATCTTTCAGCAATCGCAAGGCTTGATAACTTGCATTTGACAACAGGAGAACCCTGCCTCTTACATACCGTGTAATTGGATAAACCTGTAAAAAAATAACTTTATGAATTTATTTTAATGATACATAAATCTAATAAAAACAAATATAAATTAAGATTTACTTGAATTATACAAAACATCGAATTTAATTACATAAACGACAAAAGTTCAGATAAAATTAGAGACATTCAAGGGGAATGACTCCGTAGGTCATATTAACATTGTTATAATATTTTCAATATTTTTTTATCCACAGTACCGTATCCTTCTCATTCATTTGTTCTGCCATTAAACTATCCGGGGCACAATGGGTTATTGTGATTCTTCGTTCTGTATGTACCCATTGATCAAAAGCTAGATCTGTCAAATTAAATGAAAAACAACATTATTTAACAACAATATAAACATTGTTTGAAGAAATTACCACTTTAACAGTATCAGGTATCACCAAACGCTTGGAATAAATTAAAACAGGGTTATATAAGTATAAAAATCATTTTATAACTACATGTTATTCAATCGCTTCAGAAAATATAATATCGTAATGACCCAGCCCCAATCCGTGAAAAAATCATTTACATGGATACGCCCCTGGTTTATATAAAATAATTGCAAGTTACTGTATACTGTACAACATTTATTTTAATATACTAACCGAGATCCTCCATGTTTATAGAGGTCCCATCAAGCTTTGTCATTTCGTTGTCAATATCCATCATCCCGTCCGGTATCCACCCCTTTAAAATTTTACCTTTTAAACGATAACTTTAACATTTCATGTATCTTAAAATAAATATGTACATACAATGTACATGTATAATCGCCAACCAAGCATGCAAATCTTAAACAGTATCAACTTTAAGCTAAAAAAAGTTTTATTGAAAAATCAATATCAATATTTAATGCCACAACATTTACATCACTATATATATATTGTTATGCTGACCTACTTCCCCGTTCGCGGATTAAAACGAAAGTTGCGATAAACATGTCCTTGACCTATAACAAGAAACGTAGATTTTCCAAATATTTTGTCACATCGCGGTAAAGTAAAGGGAAATTCCCTTTACTGCGGAATAGACAAGGGAAATTCCCTCTATTTTTTGCTTCGCAAAAAGCTGGAATTTACGTGTTGTTAAATTTACCATATATAAATCAAATGTACATACAAAGATAAACTGTTAAACAGCCAAGAGATTATTTAAACATGGTTTAAATATAACTGCTGAAGTATATCTATTTCATAAATCTATTAATAGCTTAAGAAATAATCAATTCATGGATGAACAAAACTTTATTTGTACATACCTCATTCAATTTATAGACATAAATTTCCCTAAATTGATATGTTTTACTAAACGTAATTTTGTGACATTTAAGTTACTGTTTAAATCAATTTTGAAAAAGAAATCGTACAATTTGAAAGACGAATAATTACATGGCGTACGTCTTTCCTACTTTGTAAGTATGTCTGCAGAGCTTGTTAAATGGTTAAACCGACCAGTCCTAAATCAACAAAAGTTAAGATGCTTTATTAAAATCCCGCATATCAGTATTGGTAAATATATTACCATGTAAGTCTGGAGGCAGTGTAAGAAATAATTAATGTGCAAGGAACACCATTTTAAAACACTTCTTTGAATTTATACATTCAATCACCAGCATAAATTTTTCAAGGGCGGGATATTACAAGCTAGTAGCTATAGAATGGTTGAATAGTTTATGAATTCGTACCAAGTTAACAAACAGAAAATCTTATATTGTGTCAAAACTATACATGTATGTTAAAATTGAAATGGAATGTGGTCCAGAGATAAGATATTTAAATATAGATCACGTCTTCATAGAAAACACTTACATATATAGCATTGTCAGGCCTATATATTCAGCTTATTATATTGCTGACATCACCTTGCAGTACAAACGTAATGCTTAACAAACTCTGTATTTTTCTTGTCTGCGCGTCTGTTGCAGCAGAAGACGGTAAGACTATTTTCTAATGAAAGATTAAGTGAATAAATATTGTAAACACCTATGCATTATAAAAAAATAATTTGGGGCGTTAAATTTCATAACAGACAACATTAAAAATCGTTTTGCCATTTTAATATTTTAATGACATGACACAAAAAAGTAGAAAAATATGTACTCTGTACGACATTCCGTTATATTGCTAGTGAAACATACCTTATCGTTTAAAAGGAAAAAAACAACAACAACAAAAAAAAAACATTTGCTACATATTAGTGCAAAGAAAGTTTAATAGCATTAAACAAATCATTTATTTTAAAAAATATCATACATCTATAGCATGCTTAATTTCTTTTGACTCAGCTGACACTAAAATGTCGTCAGTATTTACTTTCAATTAATTAAGGATATCTACTTATCTGTTTATACTACAGTGGGTTACTTCTGGCATGTCACCGACTTTCATTGGGATTTTTCATACTGGACTGACCAGTTGTCTTGTAATGGAATGAATATAAGTCAACCTGGATTATTTGGCAACCAATGGTGTGACTCGCCATGGCGACTTGTGCAGGAAACAATCAGTGGTATAAAACACATCAAAGGCGATGTTGATTTTATGCTTTGGACTGGGTAAATAAATGACTTTCCATGCTATTTTACGTCTTTGTAATAATCCAGATTTTAAAGTGTTTCCATAAATTAGTATTATATACCGGTCTATGTTTAAATGTGCTGAATTCAATTTATTCAAACTTTGGGATATCAAAACATTCAATCACTGATGCTGCATGCTTAAAAGCACAAATAACAAACGTCAAAATTATCGTTACCTTTCATATCAGTATCGGTCATTAATTGTTGAGAATAAAGTTCGCTTTGCATTCACTTAAAAGCATCATGCTGTTAACAAAACCTTCTTTACAAATGTTTTTTTTTAAATAAAGATATTCAGAATTCTTTTATTTCTACAGGGACACTGTGCCACATGTTGACAACACACATTTAAGTATTGCCCTCAATGAAGAACTGGTA